GGCAGGAGTATTGCTTGAACCCAGGAGGTGGAGGTTGCAGTGAGCCGAGATCATGCCACTGCACTTCAACCTGGGTGACATAGCAAGACTCCATCTCCAAAAAAGAAAGACAGAAAGAAAGAAAAGTGAAATGTAGGCTGTGTTAGAACTCTCTAGATTTAGTGACAGCAATCTATTTCAAGTTAGTGCAAGTGAAAAATGAGATTCTGTTGTGTATGTAATTGGCAAATCCAAGCTATCTTCAGGCATAAGTGGGCTGGAGGCTTCACGGTGTTACCAGAACTCTTCTTCTCTCCCCACCTCTGGGCTCTGGGATGTGTATGACACTTTCAGATAGGCGCTTTCTCTGTGGATTCAAGGTGGCAGCTGGTGTTTCCAAACTTTAATCATCCTTACAGCAGCCGATGTCAGAGAAAAGAAGAGCAGCTCTTTCTCCTCCAGCCTCAGATCATTCAGATGACTCTGGCCTTGCTTGGGTTACGTGTCTGTCTGGTTTCCAGATGGATGGGGTATCTGACTGGACAGCCTAAGTCAAGATGAAGGCAGACTGAACAGAGCCCCACCAATCACATGGAGTGATGGGGGAGCTGTTTCCAAATTTAAAAACTTAGGCTGACAAAAAAATTTAACACATGTCCACTACAAAGGGATTAGATAGGAGAATGACTTAGATAAATGAGAAAGAATAAAGAGATAAATTCAGTGAAAAGAAGCCAAGAGGAAGAGATCAAGCATGTAAGGTAATAATTCTAGGTGTTCCTATGGAAGAAACCAGAATCACTATTTTCAGATAAGACTCTATACTGTTTATACTATTAAAAGGAAAAAGTGGATCATCTTGAGTACAAGATAAATGTATAAAAATGATAATCATATGATAATTTCTTTGCCCAGTGCCAGACATATAGAACAAAATGATGAAACTTCATTGAAAGGTATAATAAGATATTTAAAGAAATGGAGGAATATCCCAGTTTCTCCTAGGAAAAGACCAACATTTTGTTACGATATTATTTTTCTTTAAGGCATTTTATAGAATCAGTGCAATGCTCGTTAAAATTACAGTTATTTCCTTTGTGGAATTTACTAAAATTATTCTAATAAAAATAAGAAAATAAATGAAATAGATGAGTAGTAAGGAAATGAAACTTTACCAGATATGATTGTTTGAAAAATTTCAAACAGTCATACATTGAGAAAATGTATGAGTGAGGTAGTGAATGTTAAGTCTTTAATATAGTACATAATAGTCTGAAATGGAGACTATTATTACTATTATTTTCCTCCCCTCCTTCCTTCTTCTACTTTAATCTTTCTTTCTTTTTCCTCCTCTTTCCCCCCTCCTCCTCCTGTTCTTCCTCCTTCTTGTTTGTTCTCTGCTATGCTCCGAGGACAGAGTAGGGAACAAGACATTAAGGAAAATAATGTAAAAGCAATTATTGACCCTTAAGTTCACATGTCTGCTTAGTTGATGATTTCTTCTTTTCCCTGTCCTTCTGCAAAACAAGATTTATAGAGCACCACATTGTCATGAGAAGACTGAAGAGTGAAGGCCAGTCCATTGTTCCAATATGGTTAGCATTTAGGGTTTGAATTTATTAAGGAATAGAAAAAAAAACATATATGTATACACACACTTTGACCTCCAAGCCTCTCTTCTGCTGTGTTACATTTTTTATTCTTCCTGAGTTCTGATGGGTGGTAGATTGGAGCAAATACATATTGAGAAATGTCAGATGAGCTTCCCTCAAACCTAGTGTTACAGGAAATGGGTCCTGATCCAGACCCCAAGAGAGGGTTCTTGGATCTCACACAAGAAAGAATTCAGGGTGGGTCCGTAAAGTGAAAGCAAGTTTACTAGGAAAGTAAAAGAATAAAAGAATGGCTACTCCATAGACAGAACAGCCCCAAAGGCTGCTGGTTGCCCACTTTTATGGTTATTTCTTCATTCTATGCTAAACAAGGAGTGGATTATTCATGCCTCCCCTTTTTAGACCATATAGGGTACTGGCCTGATGTTGCCATGGCACTTGTAAACTGTCATGATGCTGGTGGGAGTGTAGCAGTGAAGATGACCAGAGGTCACTCTCCTTGCCATCTTGGTTTTGATGGGTTTTAGCCAGCTTCTTTACTGCAACCAGTTTTGTCAGCAAGGTCTTTATGACATGTGTATTTTGCCAACCTCCTATGTCATCCTGTGACTTAAAATGGCTTAACCATCTGGGAATGCAGCCCAGTAGGTTTCAGCCTCATTTTACCCATTCTCTTCTCAAGATGGAGTTGCTCTGGTTCAGATGCCTCTGACGCTAGCAATGGGTTAGGTGTAGGACAATGAGGCATCTGTGCAGGAAGCCATGTTGCCATTCCATGTATGTTCAGACACCCTTGGAGATAGTGACATCAGGAGTGTCACCCTCTTGAATGTCCCCCAACGTAAGCCCCCTTTCCTATGGAATATTCCCAGGGAGTGATATCCTGGAAGATCTGACAAGTGATCAGGCGTGGAAGCTTTTTTCTGTGTGGCTCCATGGTGTCCTCTTGTTTGAATTTGCAGTTCATGTCAATCTTAATATTTGTTGTGAGTCGCATATGCCGGCCTCTAATTTGCAATTTACATGGATGATGGGGCCCTATTCAGAGTCCTGCTCCTGCCGCCTTTGTGTTGTTCACCTCTCTTCACGCAGTCATTAGGCTGAACAGCATATAATTAGGTAACACATGTAAAGCTTAGATTTCTGAAAGGTTGCGGTTCTTTTCAAAAAGTAAGGGTTTCCATTTTTACCCTCTTTCTTTTCTAAACAAAAAGACATTTCCCCCCTGTGGTTTTCATATGAATGTAGTAACTTAGAATTAGTTAGTTTTGTAGTTGGGTAATAATTTGGGTTTGTTTTCACCTGAGAGCCAGTTTTTGTTTACACAGCTTGTATTTAACTTGGCATAGGATGAGATTGATTTACCATCATTTGTGGATGAGCGTATTGCTTTTTGAAGCCGATGGAACTGGCCTGCTTAAAAACATTCCCTAAAGATTTAAAATCCACCCAAGAAAATAACTCAGTTTCCGGCTTATTTTTGTATTTCTTTTACTACCTGTATGCATAAAACCTACCTGAAATGACTTGTTAACGTAAAACCTCTGAAAATATAAATGTGCAAGAAAACAGATGTTCCTTCTGAAATTATACTAATTGTGTTTCAGCTGTGTTCACTTGTTAGACAGATTCATGATTATAAATGTAGTTTAAAAAATAATCTTGATGGTGAAGCAAATGTAAGCTCATAAAAGAGTAAATAGAAGTGTATATAAATGTTTCATTGAAATAAAGTAACATAATGCACAGGGAGCCTGTTGATGTATTAATGCATTGTCACTTCTTACACTTGATCTTATTTTTAAAAGGAGTAAGAAAGGGTGAAATTTTTAATTCTGCTAGATTGAAAGGAAACTAACAAGATATATTAATATTACCCAGAACACTGGTTTACAGCAGTCAACTAGGGAATTCATTAAAATTAGATTTTTGGGCACCATCTATCAAAATTCTGTTACAGAGGACTGTGGCTGGACCTCAAGAATCTAAATCTTTAATAAGTACCCCTAAATGATGCTATTCCAGAAAGGTTGCAGGTGACATTAGAAATATGTGTACACAATGTAATTAATTGTGCATTTTGTACAGATGTCTGGTGATACATTTCTTCCATCTTTCTACGCTCTGAAAAAATGAAGATGGGTTTTAAGAATGTCCATGGCTGTACACTTTGCATTATGACTTTAATAGAATATATTTTAATTGCCAGCTGGTCCCTGGGGATATTGCCAAATAGAACCACATCTGGCAAACGTTGCTTCAGCTCAAGACAAATCGCAAGAAATAAAGAAGTGAGCTGACCAGTGAAACATTCGCCATCGGACATGATGCCAGTTCAATTCTTGTCTCTCTTTCCATTTGTCAGTCAAGTTAATCTAAATGACGAATGTGATCTAAAGTACATTTGTCAAAATTTATGTATTTTTCTCTTTAAATCTCTACTTACCATACTTTGGCTTGTGTCTAACATGCATTCAGAAGGAGAATGTTACTCAATGTAATTGTTTTTATTTTGGAAGGCTCAAGTTTGCATTGCAATGATATTTATTGGATGATAAAGCTATCAGTACCTTAGATCTCCTAGGCATGGGCCTTTGAACATTTGAAGGGAGAGAAGGGTGTAGTTGAAAGGGCAAATGCTGGAGAGCTACAGAGCTTCACCACCCACCATCCCCAAGGAAGTAATTTGCAATATTCTTGTGCTTGGGCTTATCTTGCACCCAGTGGGGCTTGAGACTTTGTGATAGACAAGTTGAAGTTCTTGATGAGGATATTCTGCTTGTGAATATAAATATACACTTAGATACAAAGACATGCTCATAAAGTGGTAGACATAAAAACCCTTTAAGGTTGGTTTTGTGCCTTGATCTTAGTCTTATTTCTTAGGTAGCATAAATTCAGTTCAAGTTTGTTTTTGTTTTTGTTTTTTTGAGACAAAGTCCCACTCTGTTGCCCAGTTTGGAGTGCAGTGGTGCTGTCTGGGTTCACTACAACCTCTGCCTGTCAGGTTCGAGCGATTCTCCTGCCTCAGCCTCCCGAGTAGTTGGGATTACAGATGCCCGCCACCATGCCCAGATAATTTTTGTATTTTTAGTAGAGATGGGGTTTCGCCATGTTAGCCAGGCTGGTCTGGAACTGCTGACCTCAGGTGATCCGCCCACCTAGGCCTCCCAAAGTGCTGGGATTACCGACGTGAGCCACTGCCCCAAATATGTTAAATTAGTGAGACGTAGGTATAGTATAAAGAGTTAATATAGCTATACAAATAGATGCACAAATAAACCAACTTAAGTCAGTAGGCTCTCTAAGCTATTATGATGAGAATAAATAATGTTATGAACAGTAAGACTAGTAGCTATGTGAAATTACTAATTTATTTACTTTTTAACCAAAACTGTCTCTGATCAGATTTCTTATAGGAAAGACGTGCAGGACACTCACACCTACAGTGCAGAGCTCAACCGACCAGACATCAAGATGGCAACCCAGATCTCTAAGATCATAAGCAATGTAACTTCTCTTTCTAAACCTTGAACAGAAATGATTTCTTACTTTTGTAGGAGACAAAGCATAGTTTCAGTGATTGGATGGTTAATTTAATTATTGTAACTAATCAATATAAAATAAATCTCAATTCCCCCCCCCAAATTATCTATTTTATTATGTTAATTATTTGGGTATATGCAGAAACAGCCCAAACTCAAATTGGCTATGGTTAGTGTAATCATTCTTTTAGAGAAATACTATTTAGGTATAAGTTGACATTCAGATGTCTCAGCCTGGAAGTCAAGGTTATCAGTCATATGGTCCCATATAATCTCTCCCCTCACCCTGCTCCAAAGACTCTTGCTTGGCCTTGTTTCCATATTGCTACTGTTCATTGTGTAGATTCTCTTCCACCAACACTTACCTTTGTCCACTTTCTACGTGGCATAACTGTTTCTTATCTTCTCTGAGGTGCCCACTTGAGTTAATATCATTTTACTTAAACATATTGAAAAACCTGGTTAAAAATGATGGTTTAACTTGAACCAAAATTTTTCATAACATGGGCTAAATTCACCCTAAAATCAATCATTACTCTATGCAAATGCATGTTAATCAAGTATGGCCAGAACAGTTCCTGAGAATAAATGAAACTATAAAAGCTACCTATATAGAGAGCACAGGGTCTCAATTCCTCAGAATTTTTCCCGAATATTTTGCTATAGTATTTATATATAATTACAAAGATGATGATGACTGAACACTTAGCCTCAAAATTAGTATTTTCCTGCAAAGAGTTGAGTTTGTTCATGTTAGCACAGGATAAAATCAATTTCTGCTTTAGCAGTCAACATTTTAGTGTTTGATATGTTGTAAGGAATATTAATGGGATGAAGGTCTGTTATATTTTATTTTGGCTAATGTCAGTGTTTCCATATTGACATCATTGGAGGGCAGAAATATTTAACATTGTCTTATTTATTCATTTTAGGCAGAATACAAGAAAGGACAAGGAATAATGAATAAAGAGCCCGCTGTAATTGGAAGACCAGATTTTGAACATGCCGTGGAAGCTTCTAAACTTTCTAGTCAAGTAAGGCTTTAGTGATGATTCCACAATGACTTTATTCAGAGATTTTGTTTCTAGCAGCACAGGAAAATATTTCATTTTAGATAATATCTTTAATTGCAAGGATAAACAGAGATAATGTTTCTGAGCCCATTTCACATGGGCTTGCAATCATTATGAATTTCAGTAAAGGAAAAAAAAATTAAGTCTAATTTTAAGCATAAAACAAAGTTTTCTTTTCTCGAGGCATAAATCTGAACATTTTTCAATGACTTTAGCCATGTTGTCATATTTCCCTGGATTTCCAGAAATCATTAATAGTCATACTAAATAATTATGTTTTAATCTACACACACACACACACACACACACACACACACAGTTTTTAACTTAGTAATAAGAATATTAATTTTCCCAATTTCAAGTGCTTTTGTTTAATCACAAAATTTAAAAGGGGAGATGAAAATTAAGAAAACTTTGAAGTCTTATCAAAGAGCATAAAATAAGGTCTGAAAAAGTATAAAGGCATTTTATGTTTTTGGCTGAAAGTCTCAATAGATAAAGATGTCAGTTCTTTCAGAATTATGTAAATGTCAGGCAACTTCTATTAGAATCCAACAGTGTTTTTTTTTTTTTTTTTTTTTTTTAATGGATAAAATGATCTTAAAGTTTGTGTGGAAAGAAAATACCAGTGAATAGCCTTTAAAAGTATGAAAATGAAGACCAGTGAAGGGGAACTTAAGTTATGAGTTACTGTAAGTTAATAGAAAACTACTGAAATTAAATCAATATGGGATTGGTGTAGTGAGAGATTAAATAATCAGTGGGGTAGAATAGGGAGTCCTGAAATAGATTCCAATATGTATAAGAATTTAATATATGATAAAAGTGTCAATTCAAGTCAGTGGGGAGAAGTTGGATTAGCTAATAAATGGTGCTGACATAACACACCGTCCTTCATGGGAAGACCAAAATTGAACCCAAATCTTAAACCATATACAAAAATGAATTCCAGGTGGATTAAAAATGTGAATGCAAACAATAAAATAATTTAAAAATCTTCAAAGAAAATCCAGGAGACTCTGTGTACCACATAAGGATAACAGAGTTGTTCTTAAACAAGACCAGAAATCCAGAAGCTACAATAGGTAGGCACATTAACTATACGAAAATGAAACACTCTCTTAATGAAAAAGGTAACTTTGTAGAGTCAACAATAATGTTAACAAACAGTAATTTTTACACATTTATACTATTTTTGACTTCGAAAGTACTCATTTCTCAAGTTGCAGAAATCTTACTTGAATTACATTTCAAAATGGAGAGATGTAAATGATGAAAGGTATGAAATCTGATTGAAGAGCCTAAAATAAGTCCCAAACAAATGAAAAGACATACTATTCTGTTGCTGAAAGAGCCTTGATACGAAATATCAAAAAATGTTAATTCTTTCAAAGTTAACATTAAAAGCTCCGTGCAATTCCAACTGGAATCCAAAAAAAGGGTTTAAAAAATTTTAATGAAATGAAAAACTTGGCCGGGCGCAGTGGCTCAAGCCTGTAATCCTAGCACTTTGGGAGGCTGAGACGGGCGGATCACGAGGTCAGGAGATCGAGACCATCCTGGCTAACATGGTGAAACCCTGTCTCTACTAAAAAAAATACAAAAAACTAGCCGGGCGAGGTGGCGGGCGCCTGTAGTCCCAGCTACTCAGGAGGCTGAGGCAGGAGAATGGCGTAAACCCGGGAGGCGGAGCTTGCAGTGAGCTGAGATCCGGCCACTGCACTCCAGCCTGGGCAACAGAGCGAGACTCCGTCTCAAAAAAAAAAAAGGAAGAAGAAAAAAAAAAGAAATGAAAAACTTGAATAAATTAAATAATTCAGAGTTTATACAGAGAAAGATGTATCCGGTAATAGTTTTTTAAAATACAAAAAAGGAGAAGTGGTCTTCAAATATTTGGAAAAGTACTTGTAATGCATTTGATGAGAACATTTTAATATTTTAAATATAAAATGTCTATAATATGTAATACCTATAAAATATAAATGTTCTTTAAAAGGAATTTATTTTTGTATATAGTTTAAGATTTGGGTCGAATTTTGTTTTTCCCGTGAATGAAAAAGATTAACAGCCCAGTAGAAAAAGGGGTAAGTGAAATGAATAGACAGTTCATAGAAGAGCAAACATAAATGGTCAATCAACAGGCGAAAAGATGCCCAAATTTATTAGTAGAAAGGGAAATACCAACAGAGTGAAAGCAAAATGTCTTTTACACCCATGTACACGCATCACAATGTGTCTTGTTAGTGTGGAGAAGAAAGACACGTCCTTAGAAAGTTCATGTGTAGGAGGTAGATTTTTGCTAATTTGGATTTAAAGGGAGAAGTCAACTCTGCTCAAGGGAAAGGCCCCAAATACAGGCTGGGAATAAGTGTGCCAGGGGACAGAAATCTGATGGCAGAGGCTCTGAGCAAGAGGATATAGTTGTGCATGTATGAAAAGGAATTTGGGAGGAGTTTAGATGTTGTGTCATGATGGATGGGTCAATGTGTATTGATTTTGACGATAAGCCATTGCTTAGAGAACAGAATAAGAATAATGTGTTCATATATATAATTTTTCCCCATTTCTTTATTGTGATAAAATATATATAACATAAAATTTACCATCTGAACCGTTTTTAAGTGTGCAGTTCAGTGGCATTAAATGCGTTTATAATGTTGTGCTACCCTCACCACCATCCATCTGCAGGACTCTTTTCATCCTGTAAAAGTGAAACTCTATACCTGTTAAATAATAACTTCCCATCACCCCCTTTCCACAATAGTGTGTTCTATGAACAAATAATGATAAAAAGAAAAAGTGATTTCAGAACCCAATCACAGGAAGCATTTCGGGGTTATATTCCAAAAAGTAAACACCAGAACTACTTTTTGCCATGTTAACTGTAGTCTCTCAGGGAAGAAAGAAGACATCACTGAAGGTTTTGAGCAAAGATTGATTGTGAAGAAAATACTTAGGGAAGGTTAACGTGGTGACATTGGGCAGGAAAGTCTGGCTCACAAGTGGTGAATGTCCGCAGGCCAGCTGGGCTGTGACAGTGGTAACCTGCACACAAAGTGATCAGTACCTGAATAGACTCTGTGGCTGTGGGAATGAAAATGAAGCAGACACAACTGCTCCCTGGGAGAGGCAGACATGAGAGATGCCCAAATGCAATTGTGCCTCATAGTAATTGTTTTACAGTTAACAAGGGACTTTCACTTATAAAGCAACTTTGTAACTCAGGAGGCTACTGATGTGCAAGAGGTTGGGGACATGTCTGGGTGACACTCTCATTAAAAGACTGTGACTCTAAGCACTACACATTCCCAGCAATGCTTGTTGAAGAGACAGGGGATATGGGCATCACTTTAGATTTCCAGCATAGCTACCTGGCCTCTTACAACTTCACCCTTTTCTGGGGACAGAAATTCCCCATCAGTTACACAGGAGAGAAAGCAAATTCTGGAGAAGCAGTATGGTTTGGTCTAGTGGTTAAGAAAATGTACCCTGGAGCAGGACCTTCCTGGTTCTGTTGCTTGCTAGCAGAGTGACCTGGGACAAATTGCTTCATTTCTGTTTTTGTTTCCTCTTCTGTAAAATGGGGATGACAGCAACAGTGTTTACTTCTCAGGGTTGCTGTGAAGGTTAAATGAGTTACTTTGAGTAAAACACTTAAAATAGTGCCTGGCCCATAGAAACATGACATCATTTCATAGGAATAATTTTACTTTAGATATTCAAAATAGTTTTCTATTCTACATTTTTAGATGCATTCATGCACAGAATGGAGCAGGAATACGAACACTGTGAAATTCTGACCTTAAATTCATTCCATCACAATCCTATTTGAGAGCCATTAGAAGAAAGTTTTGACGTTTGAGCTTTATTTTCACATTTCAAATTCAATCCACAAAAATTCCCCCATTTGATCCTTACTTGGGCTTGAAAGCAGATTTTTTTTTTCTTAAATCTTAAATTATTTAGCAACTGAGTGATCAGATGCTTAAGCAGATTGTAATTTTTAAGTTACATTATAACTTTTGTGTTTATTTTTTCATGTCATGTAAGATTTTATAAGTGGTATAAAAACTCATCAGAAAAGGGGAAAGGTGGGAAAATAAATAATAGGAATTCTGGGATGAACTCAGTATGTTCCGTTTATATTTTCAGTTATATCAGTTATAACAGAAATGTGGGCAGAAAGTTTAGTTTCTTATTTTCATTGACAGCATTAAAGCTTTTAGTTTGCTCCTCAACTAATGATAAAGGCACATACATACATAGAAGGCAAACGATTTAGGGATTTAATAAGCAGGGAGATGAGAGTGGATAGAATGCAGGGAGAAAAAGAGCACCAGAGCACCAGAAGCATTGTAACGGAGAAGGCAATGACAAGGAATGGTCAAGGTATGTGGGGATAAGACTTGTCTGATGAAAGGATGGGAACAGAGAGTGAATGGGGGGGATTCTCACGTGTCGTCTGTAAATTGAACTCTGTGGGATTTCACCCGGGAAAGGTAATGGGAACACATACCAAACCCTTCTTATGTTCTACAATAGCTTTACTCCCACAGTTGTAAACTGTCCCTTTTAAAAATTTACAATATAGATAAAATTATGGCCAGGTTATTTTTAAAAAATCGTTAAAAAAATAAAGCAAAAATCTCCTGTGCCAAGATGAAGGGATTGGTGCATATGGATCTCAAATATAAGTAGAGTAACTGTTGAATTCATTGACTTTAAAAATTCTAAGAGTAATTTATTAATTAATATATCCATAGATCATCTTATTACTTGGAATTTGTCTATATGATGAATAGACTCCTTGTTCAGTTTTATAACCTCAAGGAAAAACTATGTACTTATAATGTTTTGGATTGTTCTAAAATTGCATTAATACATTGATAAGAATTTTTTTTTTTTTTTTTGACAGAGTCTCACTCTGTCACCCAGGCTGGAGCGCAGTGGCACAATCTTGGCTCACTGCAAGCTCCGCCTCTCAGGTTCATGCCATTCTCCTACCCCAGCCTCCTGAGTAGCTGGGACTACAGGCGCCTGCCACCACGCCCAGCTAATTTTTTGTATTTTTGGTAGACACTGGGTTTCACCGTGTTACCCAGGATGGTCTCGATCTCCCAACCTCGTGATCTGCCCGCCTCAGCCTCAGCCTCCCAAAGTGCTGGGATTACATGCATGAGCCACCGCGCCCAGCAAGAATGGGTTTTAAACCTAAAAATCACATTATAAATTACCATGAAAATTTAGTAGTAAGCAGTGGCCTTAAATTGCAAGGGGTATTAATTGGTTTGGACAATCTACCATTCTCCCGTCCTGGCAAGCACTCCCTCCACCAAACTTGTCACACCCAATTATCAGCTCAAATGTCATGTTCCTGACTTGCCAATTTAAATACTGCTCTCTTCCCCTTTATTCTCTGCCCTTCTTTGCAGTTCTCTGCCCTTCTTTACAATTTGTAGTAGTTGCATGATATATGTGTGTGTGTGTGTGTTTTAGAAATCCATTTCACTTCCCACAAGGCAGGCTCCATGGAGACAGGGCTCATATGCCTTTGATCCACTATTATGGGAAAACACAGATTACGCTGCCAATAGATGTATACAGCCTGATTAAACCAATATTCTCTGGATCATTAACATTTGGTGCAAAGTCAGTAAGATGTTATTTTGCAAGGAAAATAAGAGCAGAGATATTATATTGTGTAAAATTAAGGCTTAAAGATATTATTGATTTTATGATGAGTTCTATGTAAAAATCTGTCCTGTCTTCCTTGACAGCTTTTAGTTTAATTTCATCCAAGATTGCTGGGGATTGATGTCTATAGATACGCAGTATTGTGTTATTTGCTTACTTTTCATTTTCAATGATAATTAAGGTACACTTATCAAGCTATTTCTTTGCTAAAATATGTTTACGTGATTATGGTGAAACACCTTCATTCAGGGTCTGCTTTTTTGTGCCTTTACTGGCTTTTTGTGAGTCTGAGTCACAGGTGATGTCGGTATAAAGTTTTGGGTTTGCATGTTAGACTTCACACATACCCAGATGCAGTTATGAGGATCTGGAACCTCATAGGAGGATTTGTAGATGGAACTCCTCATTTCTTTATATGAGAAGTTGTGCGGTTATGAGGAGCTACAATGCTGTCATTGTAGCTTAACAGTATCCATGTTTTCTCCAAGTGTGAGCCTCTGAAAATCCTGCTGTCTCTTACAATTTTTTAAAAAACATCTAGGAGTTTGATCCTATATACCTATAGAGTATTTTTTTAAAAGGTGATATTTCCATGATGTGACTATTATTCATTGCATGCCTGTATCAAAACATATCATGTACCCCATAAATATAATACACCTACTATGTACCCACAAAGATTAAAAATAAAAAAATAATAAAAACAAAAGTGATAAATATTAGGACCACTAGGCACACTAGTCATAATGTAAATAAAGCCAGTCATATGGAGTCACTTCATTTGTTTCCAGAATAATTGATATAGGTATAAGGAGTAACATTGTATCTTAAAACCATGGCAAAGTCACTCCAATACCTGTTCCTCCCTTTCTCAAATGATCTCAAAACTGAAAGTGTTATGCCTTGTTCCATGGTTGGATAACAAGTTATAGTCAAGGAAAACCATTTCCTGGATCTCTCAGATGATGCAAGCCTGCACGAGAAGGTAGACACACAGATGTATGAGCTCTAGGTTGAAAATACTATAGAATGTTGAGGGTATCTGTGTAGTTAGTGAGTGAATGTGTCAGAAGGTGAGTGATGTGACTCCCTTCAACCATTTGGTGATCTTCTTAGTTCATTTTACCTGCATTCCTTACAGAAAGGGCGAACTTAGAAACAACTGGGTGTCGGTGTCTGGTCCATGCATTTTTTATATAATGCAGTTATTTTACTTTGTGATTCATTGATGAGGGAAACTTGTGTTTTTGTTCCTTAGGCATCTTGAATCAAACCACTCATTGTAGTGAACATTCGAACAAGATAAATTTCACAACACAATGCTTATTATTACATTTAATATGAATATATATGAATAACTGATTGATTATTGTTTCTTAGAAATGTGTAGATGGTCCCTGACTTCTAGTGGTTCAGTTTAAGACTGTTTAACCTTACTGTGGCATGGAAATGATACACGTTTAGTAGAAACCATACTTCAAGTACCCATATAACGATTCTGCTTTTCACTTTCCTTACAATATCCAATAAATTATATGAGGTGTTCAACATGCGTAAAACAGGCTTGTTATTAGATGATTTTGCCTCGCTGTAGGTCATTGTTCTGGGCATGTTTAAGGTAAGCCAGGTTAAGCTGTGATGTTTGGTAGGTTAGGTGTATTTGGTGCATTTTAAACTTACAATATTTTTAACTTATGGTGGATTTATTGAGATGCAACCCCATCATAAGTTGAGGAATTTACTGGGAAGAGCATATGCAAGGTTTAATAACAAGAAAAGAATTCATCAGTTTCATTTTCAAGTACTCTAGTGTTACTGTGCTGGAAACCTCAGAGTTTGCAGAAACAGTATGATGTTTACATCTGTGTACAAACATCATATAACCTACTTTTGCCATTTAGCTAATACAGTGTTAATGAATATGGCTGAGTCAGAAGTGTCATTCCAGTGGAAGGCTGTTGAAGAGTCCACCATCTTTGTTGGGTGAATATCCTTTAGGCACTAGAAACTTAGGAGAGACAGGACCAGTGACTAAAATATGGTAAAAGTATAGCAGAAGGGTGAAGAGGGCAAAAAGAATAAGACTATGGCCAGGGGCAGTGACTCATGCCTGTAATCCCAGCACTTTGGGAGGCTGAGGCGGGCAAATCATGAGGTTGGGAGATCGAGACCATCCTGGCTAACATGGTGAAACCCTATCTCTGCTAAAAATACAAAAAATTAGCTGGGCATGGTAGTGGGTGTCTGTAGTCCCAGGTACTTGGGAGGCTGAGGCAGGAGAATGGCGTGAACCCGGGAGGCGGAGCTTGCAGTGAGCCAAGATTGCACCACTGCACTCCAGCCTGGGCGACAGAGCGAGACTCCATCTCAAAATAAATAAATAAATAAATAAATAAATAAATAAATAAAATAAGACTTTGTATTTACGGGAGGACCAGGCAGGGTGAATCATTGCTTTTGTGCCAGCTACTGTATAAAGTGCTGAAGGAATTCTACATTTCTTTCATTTGTAATTTTGTTCTTGATTTCAAGACACAAAATAATAAAAAAGTCCGTTTTTCTTGTTTTAAAGAGGTCTTGCCAGTTACTTAAAATCAATTTGTACGGTATTGAGAATATCAGAAAGTTGTTATTATCAAATGGAACCAGAACAGAAAATATTTTCTGTAAACCACCTCAAAATATTTACCAAATGCTGTATTCCCACCAAGATTTTCTCTAGCTCTCTCTCATAGGTAGGTTCCAGACATGTGTCCCTGAAGGAGACCATCACCCTATGCATGCCTAAAATACACGATGAGAGCCATCCCAAATTGCTTTTTAATAAAGCCTTCTGCAAGGCAGGGCCTTTAGATGTATGCATAAGAGTGTATTATCAGAATGTTGTTAGAAAACAAAATATTGTAATAATTATAACATCAGAAAAATATTATGAGAGAACAAAACAGCTTACTTTGACCTGTGAAATCAGTGCACCCTTTCCTGGCTAAAGTTAGTTAAAGGGGGTGTGACATGTGAGTAGCTAGGATTTTTTTTTTTTTGTAGTGAACTTGTGTTTATATTCTAATTAGTTATGACACGAATTCTCATATTTCTCTATACATGGAGAAAAATATAGTTCTACCAAATAAGTTGATAATCCCTTTTTGGTTGTTTTAAGAGTCCTTTAAAAGGAGAAAAATAATTTAGAGTGAGTATTAGAGATGGTTTTCCTGTTGAATAAATTGTGGAGTTAAAGCAGAGGAAGTTTTAAATTGACATTAAATTGACCCAGGACATTTCAGAAAATGTAGTTCCTAAGACTAAATTTTTGAGCAAATGAAGTATAGGAAATGATGAGAAAAACTGTGGTACACATCATGCTCTTTATCTGGAATAATTCCCTTAGGAAAATTTATATTTAAATTCTGGGGCCTAGAATCTATTTTCTAAATGTGGTAGACATTAAGACGTTTGTGGTCTAGGTTTCTAACTGATCATGGATTATAGAAATGCAGAAATGAAAACTGACATTTAAAAATCTTAGTGTTTTAGTGCTTAATTCTCATTAATAGGATTTGAGTTCATGCCATTGCATTTGTGATCAATGTAGAAGTAGAGCTTTTTTTATTAAAAAAAAAAACAAAAAAACACTTTATGCCATTAAGCTTTATAGAGGGAGATGGATACCAGGAATGTAAACTTTGCAACCATTCATTTTTAAGGTAGCTTTTATTTTATCTATGTGAAAATCAAATGTGTTACTTTTAAATGTAAAGATACGTGTACTGTTTATCTTTTCTTTTATGACAGATTAAATACAAAGAAAAATTTGATAATGAAATGAAGGATAAGAAACATCATTACAATCCTCTTGAAAGTGCTTCTTTTAGGCAGAATCAGCTTGCTGCTACATTGGCAAGCAATGTAAGTTGTAATTCATAGAAAATTATTTTCAATATCTTTTGATTCTTTTTTTTTTAGAATAGACTGTGTTGTAACTACTGATACTTAATCAAAATAATGTAGCTTCCAAGTAATTTGTAGTTGAACTGAAGCATATTTTCCTAAAGCTTTTTCTGAGAAAAATATATCATTGTAATTAATTTTTAATGGTTACTGATTACTAATTAGTTAATAAGTAGGAATAGTATTGCAAATGAAGTTATTATATCTGTTCAAGAGTAGAAATAGATTATAGAATTTTGCAGAGAAGTGGTCTGTATTACCACAAATTAGTGGTTAGGACAGTAGTTACCTCATGTAATTATGGCTATGAAATTGAGTTCATTGTAAAGTACTGCCTGGTACATGGTAATTTATCATATAAAGAAATTTTTAGAAATTTTACTTTAATGACTTACAATTTATTTTTTATCCCTTATGTAAATGCTGTGAAATACTTCCTCATATGAATTGTTCTCATTCCATGTTTTTAAAAATAATGAAAATTAATTTTACAAGAAATGATGTTTTAAATTCTTGTTAAAATTAGAGTATAGAAATAGCAACATCAAAAAATTGATTGCTATAGGTGAAAATATTTAGATTTCCTTTTCAAGTATAAAAATTATGCATTATTGATCTGTTGCTTTGTTAGAAATAGAGATGAAATATACTTAAAGGAACCTAGAACATAGTGCTGAAAGCTAAAGGTTTCGAGTCAGATTGGTTGGATTTAAATCCTGTTTCATCACCTATTACTATGTGTTTGTCTTTCTGTGCCTCAGTTTTCTTATCTATAAAATGAGACTGCTTAAAATACCTACTTAATAAAGAGGTTATTGTGGAGATTCAATACTTAGTACATATAAAGGGTTTTAGAAAAGTGGCACATAGTAAGTCTGTGATATCTTTGCTATCAATATTTTGTTATTACTGGTATTATATTTTCAAAAAGTTGCTTTAAAAAAGTCTGTGGTGATAGGATGGAAAACATCAAAATCTTAAAATCTCCACAAAGCGTAATTGAAATACTGTAGTAATTTCTAAAGAATAAAGTGGCTATTCTCTTTATTTTTTGAAAGCAGAGTTACTGTGAAAATTACTTTATTCTGTTAACATGAATATGTTAACAACAAAAGGAATTATCCAAGTATTTTCAAGCCCATATAGAAATAACTTTTAAAAATTCATTCCGTAGTAAATCAGCACCATCTAGTGGCTCCTTGTAAATTCGCCTGTCAATTTACCACTAAATAGTACTACTTTATGATGTATGAAAAATGCAATAATGCAAAAGCATAATATCTTCTTCTCCTAGATGGTATTTTGTTCCATGTTATTTTCATAGGTGAAGTACAAGAAAGACATTCAAGATATGCATGATCCAGTTTCAGATCTCCCAAATTTGTTGTTTTTAGACCATGTTTTGAAAGCCAGCAAAATGCTCAGCTGCGTAAGTGGTTCATCTAATGGCAACCGTAGTTGCCTTGTGGCTCCAAGAAGCCAATATGTCTGCAGCGTTCATGTGCTCACCTGCTTCCTTAGAAGGCCTGTGCCTCACTCCTCCCTCAATAACTAACTCATTGAAAAATACTCCTTTGCTTGCAGAAATCCCACCAGAGCTGTCACTTTGCAAAGGAGGTTCTTGCTGCTCTCCAGTATCTCCTGCATACAACTATACTTCAAAGTGTCTGCACAGTGGCCTTTCTATCATTCTTCTTTCCCTTACTTCATCTGTGTTAGATTAAAGCCACTTGGAAGTTCAGGTTCTTAAGTCAGGGCTATTTTATTTTATGCAGGCCAGACCAGAGTGTCTTGTATTTAGTATGCCTTCAGTAGCATGAAAAATTGTCTTAGTCTAAACTGTATTTTCTCTGAAAATAATTCCTAACAGCATTTATACTGCATTGACACATTGCTTTTAGTCTTGTCATGGTTTCAGTGTTCTCGGTCAAGGCAACCAGGAGAAAAGGGTGAGTTCTTCATGTCCTGATGAAAATAACTGGGTGCACTGCCCATGTAGTCAGCCCCGTGGAACTCTCACTACCCTGGATGCTGTTCCAACCCATAGTACATCAGGACCCTGACTTCGCTAGCTCTCCTAACTGACAACCCTAAGTCACACGTGGCTCCATTTTGTACAGTCTAATGTAAATTGTTTCTATCATCTCTTCAACAAAGAAAATGCAACAAAGTCATATGTTACTTATTTCATATATCATTTATAAAGTTTAGATCTTCATTTAGGTGGTGTTTTTGCCTAGAGGACAGATTTCTTTTTCCCCATAGACAAATTGTGATTGAATGACTACTTCATGGGAGAGAAAGTTTAAGACTTAAAAAATGTGTTCCTTTTGAAGTGCCTACTTACAAAGTTGTATACATTGTATAAAGCTGTATACATTTGCTCAACTTTACTGTATATTAGAATGGCCTCCTTTATCTAGTATTTGTGAAGAAACAAAGAATAGCCTATATTAACATTTTCATGTAAAAAATTGGAATTTTGTTGATTTATAAATTAAAAGATTGAATAAGATTGCTCAGTAAGAGATATTCTGCCAAAATTATCCATTTGTCATAGTAGCTGTTGTTTTAAAGACCCCTAGATGTCTTTAGCAATATCAGAATTACTTTTATTTTAACCTAAACTCTATAGAGTGATATGAGTGCCTTAATTAGTGTGTAAAATCATTCTAATTAAAATTTTGGGAACATTTTCCCCTGGAAAATGGACCTCTCGTAGTATTCAGTTTCTTTTATAACTTTACATAAATTAAGAAATGTGTATTTTGTGTAACTCTGTGTATCTCCCACTAGGAGGCAACAGAGACTGTTATATAATGAAAGACACACATTCGAAGTTCTTTTGCAGATCTTAATTCAAATAAGTTTTCCTTGTTATTTTTTTGTTTTTGTTTTCTTAAATAGGAGTTTCTGAAATTCTTTGTAACTAAAATGGATAATTGTGTTGGGAACAATATTTACTGAATTTTTCAGTACATATTAATTATTTTAGACATTAATATATATCTGTTGTGGATTTTAACTCAGTAATGGACTATGTTGTAGTTTGTTACATTCATGATTATTTTATAAATACGTATTACAAGATAATTTCTAATCAGATTATAAAGTCTGTATTATTATCTTTCCGGATTTTAACTGGTAAAAAAAAAAAACAACAGTTTTTTTTTAAGATGGAGTCTCACTCTGTCTCAGGCTGGAGCGTAATGGCGTGATCTTGGCTCACTGCAATCTCCACCTCCCAGGTTCAAGCGATTCTCCTGCCTCAGCCTCCTGAGTATCTGGGACTACAGGTGCACACCACCACGTCCCACTAATTTTGTATTTTTAGTAGAGATGGGGTTTGACCATGTTGGCCAAGGATGGTCTCGATCTCTTGACCTGGGAGCCAAGGGTGGGAGCCAACATGCCTATCCCAAAAAAAGGCTTTTTAAAAAAAATATTAGGAGAGCCAAAATTTATAACTTGTTTCCTTCAATCAAGATGTATTCTGTGGGCTGGGTGCAGTAGCTCCTGTTTGTAATCCCAGCATTTTGGGAGGCCAAGGCAGGAGGATGGCTTGAGGCCAGGAGTTTGAGACCAGCATGGGCAACATAGTGGGACCCTAGCTCCACAAAAAAATAAAGAAATTAGCTAGGCATGGTGACATGCACCTATAGCTCCAGCTACTCAGGAGGCTAAGATGAGAAGATTGCTTTAGCCCAGAGGTCAAGGCTGCAGTGAGCCATGATCCCTCCACTGCACTGCACTCCAGCCTAGGTGACAGAGCAAGACCCTGTCCAAAAAAAAAAAAAAAGTACTATATGAACATTTTCATGACCTTCCTGGGGGTGCTTTCCTCCCTGATTTTATTCTGGTTAGGTTTGGGGGAACATATATTGCAGCTCCCTAATTGACTGGAAGCACTTGAGGCCAGGCTCCCTCTGGGGATTATTGCTTTGTCTCACATGAAAGGCAGCTCTCTCGTGGCAGGACAGTTGGGCATCTGTTCCATTCCTAGCACTGGGCTTTCTTCCTCTTTCACTCTGAAATCCCTGGAGCATCCCCTAAGATCGAAATGCAAATTTCCTTATGGCCAACTCTTTCCTGCTCCCTTTCAAATACTGTTTCTGTATCCCTCCACTCTATTGTCATTCTTACTGGCACCCCATTGCCTAATAAGCAACTGTCTTTAGCTTCTTAAGTCTCTGTAGCCTTGAGTCTTTAAGAGCTACCATTTACTTCTAAAGGTCTTTTCCAGATAAGGCAAAATAACTAAGTGTCCAATCTCCAATGATAGAAATCATGAAATAATAATTTTTAAAATTTTCTAATTTATAATTGTTATTGATACATAATGGTTATATATATTTATGGGGTAAATATAATGTTTTGATACAGGCATACAGTGTGTATTGATCAAATCAGGATAATTGAGATATCCATCAATTCAAGCATTTGTCATTTCTTTCTGTTAGGAACGTTTCAATTCCACTCTTAGTTATTTAAAAATGTACAATAAGTCATTGTTAACTATGGTCACCCTATTGTTGCATTGAATACTAGATCTTCAACTCATCTCTAACCGTATTTTTGCACCCCTTAACCATCTCCACTTTATCTCCTCTCCCCATCACTCTTCCCAGCTGCTGGTAACCATCATTCTACTCTGTCTTCATAAGTTCAGGCTCCCAAGTAGCTGGGGCTATAGGTGCGTGTCATCATGCCCAGCTAATTTCTTAATTTTTTTGTAGAGCTGGGGTCTCACTATTTTAGCTCCCACATATGAGTGAGAGAACATGTGAAATTTGTTGTTCTGTGCCTGGCTTATTTCGCTTAACATAATGACCTCCAGTTCCATCCATATTGTTGCAAATGGCAGGATCTCATTCATTTTTGTGGCTGAATAGTATTCCATTGTGTATATGTACCACATTTTGTTTATTCATTCATCTGTTGATGGACACTTAGGTTGCTATTGAAACAATTTTTGTCATATTGCTGCCTGTTACATTTAACATCTTTCAGTGGCCAGACTTGGCATCCCTGTTCAATTTGGTCTCTTCCAAATTCAACTTGTTTTCTGTAGGTCTAAATAGTAGCCTTCATCCAATTTTTTCACCTTAAAAACTCAACTGGCTGTTCCCAGATTTCTCAGTTTCTCTTCTGGGCACCTTTTACCCTTTTCTTTTAGGAAAAATAATTGAATTATTTCTCTTACATTTTCCTTGTGACCCTCAATCTTCTTCATGGTGGAGTCTTTTTGTATAGGAATTTTTTATTCCTTGCCTCTGGGTTTCTTTTCCTTTATTCTTTTTGTTTTTCTTTCCTTCTCTCCTTTTGAACAGTGTTAAACATATTCCTGTCATAAGATAAGAGCAAGACAAATTGTCTTTATTTTGCTCCACTTTACCTATTTCCATGAGTCCCAGGGCTAGCTTTCCGTTGCCACTCCCTGGTGTTATGAATATCCTTTACATTATGTTTGCGGCTAATTGTCCTCTGCCTCTCTTGTGTGTTTCATATGCTGACCTAGAGTGGGTCTGTCTTGCATTGTCTGTGTGTCTCAGTGTCAGAAACCTACCTGCCAGCCAACTGCAGACGGGGACTTGGCAACAGCTTTGCAGCTCTCGGTGGCTTGTATTGTGCAGTTTGCATTTCTAAGTATTGATGGCTCTAATCAGTCTCTTTGATTCTAAATTTATTTTCACATTCTGTATTTTAGCGAGAATATAAAAAGATCTTTGAGGAAAACAAAGGAATGTATCATTTTGATGCAGATGCTGTGGAACATCTGCACCATAAAGGCAATGCCATCCTCCAAAGTCAGGTACGCACTTGCTGGGCACCTACCCTCCCTGCCAGGAAGCCGTAAGCATCCTGAGGCCTGCCACTCACTGCCGTGCATCTTAACTGAGAATGTACAGTTGCAGAAAAGAATAAATCCTGAGAATGTTAACATTACTTTTGAAAATCTCAAACACTATTTGCTATGTACGTATTGGGGTCAGGGGAGCTTGAACCATATTTCAATTTAAAGGCATTTTGTAAAATAACCATTACTTCACATAATTAAAAAGTTACAAGATAGGAATTAGTTAAACTATGGTCAAACCACATGATGATTTAAATTTTTCTAGTGTCTTGATTTGTCATTTTGAGCAGTAACATTAATTTTCCAGGTGCAAGGTTTATTATAATTTCTTATTTCAATTATGTGTTATTAAAAAGGGAATACAGTCTTACTAATGTATTCTTGATTAATATTTTTTTCCAATATGAAATTCTAGGTACTCCCTGAATAAACTTAAAAAAAGTCATCTCTCTAGCATACTTTAAAGTCGCTATTTTTTAAAATTTCTGAGCTTAAATAGTTGCAAAAGATGTCAGTTCCAGCATCTGTTAAGATAAAATTTTATATCAGTCTTTTAAATCTATTCTGTGGAATGTAAAGTCCATAAAAATTTCATACTCACCTTCATTGGTTTTAAAAATAAAACAGTTCCCCTTTAAGTTTGGAAATACACATCATTTCTAAAAATTTCTTATTTCATTTCATTTATTTCACAAAATTTTTGTTTGAGATGGAGTCTCGCACTGTCACCCTGGCTGGAGTGCAATGGCGCAATCTCGGTTCACTGCACCCTCTGCCTCCTAGGTTCAAGCGATTCTCCTGCCTCAGCCTCCTGAGTAGCAGAGATTACAGGTGCCCGCCACCATGCCCAGCAATTTTTTTTTTTTTTTTTTGTATTTTTAGTAATGACAGGGTTTCACTATGTTGGCCAGGCTGGTCTTGAACTCCTGACCTTGTGATCTGCCCGCCTTGGCTTCCCAAAGTGCTGGGATTACAGGTGTGAGCCACCGCACCTTGCCATTTCACAAAATTTTATCCTAGTGGTGTATGCTATTATACTTCCCAATACTTTTATTGATCACTCTATCATATTCTTTGCAACAAAATTATGTCTACAGATAGGTATTTAAAAATGTGTCATATTTCCTGTTTCATAAAGTTCTAAGTTTGAAAAGTTTCTCTTGGGTTGAATTATCATTAACATTATTATTTTAATAAATAATTTTATAGATAATTATTAAACAAATTTTATTGAGAGTGCATTTCTGAATGAAATGAAGTATAAAAACTTCTGTGAGTTTAATTGTAAAGAGTATATTGCCTAAAAAGTCAACCATTTTGATGGCTTACATATTACTTTTTGTTATTGGAAGATAAAAAATACCACTCATTTTATAAACCAAAGATGAGGATTGACTGTAATTGAATTAAATAATTCATAATTTGATATTAAATGTTGCATAGTGAAATTGATATAAATCATATAAGGTCTGTGTGAGTGTTTTACTCAGTGTCTATGAAAATATTCAGCAGTCCTGGAGGACATCATCTTCCCTTTGACAGAAAAATAGAGGATCATGCCCATGTTTTCTTTCTTGTTCTTGATTTCCCAGTCGACATCAATGCAATCTCAGGGATCTCTCTCTTTCTCATACCTACTACCTATGTGTGTATGCCATTTGCATATACATATTTAACCCCATATATATGATACATTATCTATATATTCCAGTCATTTGACAAAATACTTTATACAGGTCCTAGAACTACATTAGTTGTTCTAAATTATTTTTATCCTTTAGGAAATTTTCTATTACCTGTTTACTTTCCTTGTATGTCATTAACCAAAGGGAACCCAGTGATCAACCTAAATGGCCAGAATAATATGATTTTAGAAGACAAGATGACTAGTTTTGAACATATATTTTGTCTTACTTTGCTCTGTTTGTATAAGGGCTCTCGATTTATATATGCTTTTCTTTTTCCAATGAAGGTTAAATACAAAGAAGAATATGAGAAAAATAAGGGAAAGCCAATGCTTGAATTTGTTGAGACACCATCGTATCAAGCTTCAAAGGAGGCTCAAAAGATGCAAAGTGAAGTAAGTCAGTTGGTTTGTTATTAATTGCTTAATGTAAATTTGATGTTTTGTCGTTTGAAAGGATGCAGAATGTTCAGTGGGTCTAGAAGAAAGAGTGCTGCTCTGGGCAGATTCAAGGACCTGCTTTCTAGACCCAGCCACCCCCTGCCTGGGATCTTGTCTAGGACATTGAGTTTATCTGGTCCTTAGCTTTTCTCATTGGTGAATATGGATCTTAAGCTAGATGAGCTTTTAAAGTTCCCCTCAGTTCTAATTTCCTATGATTATATAACTGACACTTTCAGATGTTAATTTTACCTTTTGCCTTTCAGATGTTAATGTAAAACTATAATGAGTTCATAAAAACTAAAAACGAATAGCTGGTTGCTTTATTTGCCTGGCCCCCCCCTTTTTTTCCCAATGAAAATAGAACTAACATTTTTTAAATACTTACTACATGCTAGGTAATATGCTAAGAGTCTTATATATGTCAGCTTATTTAATCCTCCAAGTAATGATGCTAGGAAGGTGTTCTCTGTAGATTAAGAATGTGTCTACTGAAATTGTCTTAGATGAAATTATATATCCAGTAAATGTTAATGTTTTAGGACCTGGTCAAAATCTTGAATGATTCCCTTTTCTCTTTAGTTTATGTTTTAGTCCATTTTGTGTTGCTATAGCAGAATACCAAAGACTGGGCAATTTATAAAGAACAGAGATTAATTTCTTTCAGTTCTGGAGGCTGGGAAGTTCAAAATCCAAGAGTTTACATCTGTCAAGGGTCTTCTTGCTGCATCATCCCATGGCAGAAGGTGGAAAGACAGAGAGTGCTTGCACACTCCTTAGAGGAGGGGATGGGAAACTCATCCTTTTATCAGGATCCCAACCCCATGATAACAAAACCATTCCCATGATATCGGCATCAATCCATTCATGAGGCAGAGCCCTTATGGTCTAATCACCTCTTAGAGTTCCCACCTCCCAATACTGTTGCATTGGGGATTAACTTTTCAACACACGAACTTTGTGGGGACACATTCAAAGCATAGCAACATATTTGATTGATTTTTTTTCAATAAACAATTAAGAGTTTTTTCGGCTTACCTACTTTATTCCCAACCTGAGATTATGGTAACATCTCGATATTCCCCACACATTTTTTTCTCTGTTCCGGTGAGACTTATTTGTGTGTGTATGTGTGTGTGTTTTCCTTCCTACCTTTTCAGGATCAGACACACGAGGTTTTGTCTGCAGCCTATATCAAAGTTTTGTGGGTGCAGCTGAGTTCTTAATGCAAAGGGACAGAAATAGTGGATGCTGGTCTCAGTCCAATACAACCTTCATGCTAGGCATGCTCAATGAATAAGATCCTTTCTGTTGCCCAATAACAACATCAAAACAGGCAGAAATGATAACTTGTGGACAAAAAACTCTCAGGAATTTTATAAGCATTACCCGTGCTATTTGTTGAAATGTTATAATTCATCTTCTTGGGGAAAAGGCACTCAGATATTACCATGGTTTATTGAATAGACAAAGTTGTTTAATTTCTTCTTCAAGCAAAAAGGAAAAAGAATTACTTGTATTTTTCATGTCTTATTCAGTGGTCTCCAGTCTTTTTGGCAACAGGGACTGGTTTCATGGAAGACAATTTTTCCATGGATTGGCAAGTGGTGGTAGTGGTGGAGGGGATGGTTTTAGGATGAAACTGTTCTATCTCAGATCATCAGGCTTTAGTTAGATTCTCATAAGGAGTGCACAACCTAGATCCCTCGCATGCACAGTTCATAATAGGGTTTGCACTCCTATGAGAATCTAATGCCACTGCTGATCTAACAGGAGGCAGAGCTCAGGCAGGAATGCTCCCTCACCCTCGCTCACCTCCTGCTGTGCAACCGGGTTGCTAAGTGGCCATAGGTTGCTATTGGTCCATGGTCTAAGGACTGGGGACTCCTGTCTTGTATCTTCTTAAGCCAATGAAGAAGAATCTGATAAAGAAATATCAAGTAACCATTTTGATTAAATTAGTTATTTGTTTTAAGTGAATTGATACTAGTGAGTTTGGACAAAGTTCAGAAACCCTGTAAAAATTTACATTTAATGGAATAAATTTCCCTAGAATACCTTTTCTTCCTTCAGATAATAGTGTGTAAGCATGTATAAACTATATAAAGTATTTTATATATTCTTTTCATTGCTTTACTATCTTCCACTGCAGCAGTACTTTTTGCATGGAGTAGAGCCACCCAATGAATGTCCCCATTTTGTAGAGATAATGTGGCCATTATCAATGATCCACAGCCCAGAGAAACATTTCTACTTTCAGGAAGTGTCATAATGCTTTTGCTTAGTGGGTCTTCTGAAAGGTTAACCCACTTCCCATTTAGAAAAAAAATGTACAGTTTGCTGCCAGCACTGATTTAATTTTACATAAACAGACTCTTTGAGGCTGAAGCAAATCGGACCTGATTTGCAATGTGAAAATAAAATATAAAAACTGTTTTTAGAGTTATTTCTAAACAGAACTTGTCTCTAATTCTAATGGAACAGACAGGTTTATAATGTTACATTAGGACTAGGGACAAGAGTATTCTTAAGGCAAAAGGGCAATGGGTTAAGACAATATGAAGTTGTTAACAAATTTTCACTGAAAGACACAGGGATCAAAAATCACTTTCCTTTTCTGAGGACATTTCTGGTAGCATCAGTATTTCAGGCTGGGCCTCCTCTTCCAGTTCCCTCCCTGCCCCTTTCCCTTTACCCCCTCCCCTTTTCTTTGATCCTCAGCCCTAGAAACATTCATGCTGAGCACCCTTTTATCATTCTGGTTGCGCAGTTTCTTTTTTTTTTTTCTACTTTGTGGATAACTTTGCTTTCGCTGATAAATCCAGAAACTTATAATTCATGATTAATATATTTGAATACTATGTTTCTGTAGTAGAAATGACAATAGTTTATGATTTGGGATTTTAGGGTAGTCTCTCTTTTCTTCACCCAACTTCTTCTCTCACTCTTGCCAAGTGAGACATGTTTTCCCTGACATATATTCCCTTTAATTATAGTCATTGACTATTAGATTTTTTTAGGCTCAACCATCATTTCTTGAGGAGAATGAAATCTTTCAATAGAAAGTATCTTTGGACCCAATTCATATGCTAAAGGTTAGAAAAATAACTAAAAATCTTAGACAAAGTTTGATGTGAAAAATGTTTTTAAATATAGGACCGATGAAGTAGGTGCAAAGAGAATCATCTGTCTTAGAGATGTTTTTTATTCCTAAGAGGTAGGTTTGACTACCTCGAGTTTCTCGAGGAACTTCCTACAGGTAAACTTAAGTATTTATGATCCCGGGAAAAGCCACTGGTATCTTTGCTATGGCCTATAATTAAGTTTATCATGCTTTCTTCCAATACCAGATATAGGTTTAATGTGTGTGTTTTCTGGAGGAAACCTTTAAATCTGGCTTTGAAACGTTCGTTGTCTTATTTCACAAATACAGCTTTCTTCAAAAAGCATGCCCAAAAAGTTTTTTTTTTTTTTTTTCCTAGCTATATATTTTGGCTACTTCTAGTCATAATTAACCTCCCTTAATGACTTACTTCAGTAAAATAACTTTTTTTTCAGAAGCACTTTTTGAAGTGAAATAGCTGATGTAAATGAATGCATGAATGCACAGACATATTCCTATTTCACCATTTAAAGAGTCCTTTTTAGCCTGGAGATGCCCTAGATTCAGCCTAACTGTTATTTCTACTAGTTCCACATAAGGAAGAGGAAAGTTTCTAGTCATTGTATCTCAGTTCTTTAGTTCAGAATGTTCTCAATGCAACTGCTTATTTAGCTTTGCTAGACTTTCAGAACATCCTTTGTTTCTCTCCTTGTGGCTATATCCACATCGTTAGACTGCTGTGTGGAACACATGTGCTAAGTGAGGAGACAGTGTGTTTCTCTTATTCTCCTTCATGGGTTAGAGACATTCTTTATACTATTACCTATCTCTGTAATGAATAAATAATGAACCTGGAAATAGCTTCTCATTTTGCCTGAATAACAATTTCAGGCAGAATTTATTTATTTTTATCATTTCAGGGATGCAATTTGAACAAAATATTTGGTTGGTAAAATCTGGGTCCTTGTTTACTAGATATTTCACATGGATGGATATTTTTGTTGTTTATAGTTTATAGCTGTCTTTATAGCCATAAAGCATGCATTATCACTGATTTTTCAAATGTGTAGTTCAAATGTTAGAATTTAGAGAATCATAGCCAAAGAGTGGCAGAGTGTGTTAAAAGGGCTAATGGTGGTCTGAATCTAAGCCCCCCACTATCACCGTCGTGTCCACCTTTCATTTCTTGTTGTGAACTCTCACTTAAAGGAGGAGTTCAGTTATAAGGTTCAAGATAAAATTCTCCTCACAGCACAACTTCATTCATATCAAACACCATAGATGGTAGAGAAATATTCTCAACTCCAAAATCATTCAAGGGAAACCCCTTCCCTAACCCTCAATCAGCATTACATTTTAGAAGTGGTGTTTCCTGAATTTGCAAAAGTCTGATGAAGAAGGATGATGGGGACATGAACGTTAATGCTCTTGGGTTTGATGCTGCTTGGGTTTGATGGCTTCCATGCCACCAGATTTTCTCCCAGTCAGTGGATCCACTCTTCTTGGAGTAAACCAACTGGGGGATCCAGTCAAATAGCCAGTCTTGTTGGTTCTTCTCCGAAAAATGGGCTGATGTTAATCCTAGACTAGTAGGATGTTAGGAAACCTCACTCAGAATTTTGTGATTTACCAGAGGAAGAGGCCACTTAATAATTCTCCTTTGTTTGGTAGAATTCTTAAATTTGTGGTAAAGTTGAACTTATTTCCCTGTTGATAGGATGACCCTTATGTGGTAGAACTACCTAAGAAAACATCATTTTTGTTTTGGGAACTCTTGTTCAAATCTCTTTTCAATGGTCACTGATATTTGCTAACTTTAAAATTATGTGGTCTTATTTAACAGAAAATTTACAAAGAGGATTTTGAGAAGGAGATTAAAGGAAGGTCATCACTGGATTTAGACAAGACTCCAGAATTTTTACATGTAAAGTACATCACCAACCTTCTGAGGGAGGTACGATCTTGGTGTCTACTATTATATATCACGAAGAAAAGTCAAGAAATAAGCCAGGAAATATTCAGCTAATTCTCTACTAATTCAGTGTTTGAGATATTAAGGCATTACTCTTTTTTTTCACTTTGATCTTCACTAATAAAATTTTGCATTTTCATTAAAAACAGGAGCGTGTGTGTTAACATTTCCAATTAAAGTTGCAAGAAGAAATTGCCCAGTTCCTGGGAAAACTTGAAAAACAGCCTGGTTTTTTGTTTTAGTTGTAGCTCAGAAGCTCTATAAATAGTTTTATAGTTTTATAGCAGTTTTTTAAAAAATGTTTTGAATATGGGTGGAGAGAGCTTGATTCTTTCAAATTTAGTTATTATAAAAACATTTTAGAACCAGCTTTTCCTGTCGCTTTCCTGCAGCAAATGTCTCTAAAGGAAGGAGGAAAAAGACCAGAGTTCTCTCCCTCTCTTGACATTTGATATCAGAAATAAGATGCTCACATGTGAAGGTCTGGATAAATGCTACATTACTTAAAAGTAGTTTGTGTTCTAAGTACGGAAAAATAATATATTTAACATGTAGAACAGAGGAACTCATGTCCACTTTTTATTTTATTCTCTGCAAAAATTTCCCCAAAAACGTAGTGGTGCACTTTTTGCTCACAAGTAATATATTAAATTTTCTTAACATTAAGACCTTAAAATTAAAAATATGTCTATAGTCCACCGATTTAAAAGCTAATTTTTCTTTGTTTTTTAAGTGGCCAAAAAGTAGCTCATAGATTTTCCAAATCTGCTTACATGCTCTTTGTATTAAGGGAAAGTGTTCCCTAAGTATAAATGTAGTATATAATGTAATATATGTATATATATTATACACAATATAATAATGTGTATTATGTGATATATAAGTGGAATATATATTACATATATATATATATGAAATTTCATTTCATTTTGAATTTTTGAACTGAGGAAACTATTCCTGAAGGAAATCTCTTAGACGAGTGAAATAAATTTGAGATTAATTACCTATAGGAGCACATCATCATGAACTTCTTTAATAAGCAAATGCTGACTGGCCGTACCATTTAACTGGTTTTAGAAATTTAATGTGATTCAGTGTTGTAATATATAGTGTGCTGAAATAGACATGTAATTTCTATAAGAGTTCTCTTGCTACACTATCTTTTCTCACTTCTAGTTCCTAATAAAAATTTTTGAAGTTGAAGGCTAAGCAAACGGCAACTTCCTAGAGAGTAGAGCTAGGACATAGTGGCAGGAGGAGAGGATCGGGAGAGGTTGGTTAACAGATACAAAGGAATGAGCTCCGGTGTTCTGCAGCGCCACAAGGTGCATATGGTTAACTATAATTGATTGGATATTTTTAATAAGCTAGAAGAGAGGATTTTGAGTGTTCACAACACAAAGAAATGATACATGTTTGAGGTGATGGATATGCTAATTACCCTGATTGGATCATTATATGTTGTGTACACATACTAAAATATCACTCTGTATCCCATAAATATGTACAATTATGTGTCAACTAAAAATAAAAGGGGGAAAAAAAGAGAAATAGTTGACCGTAAGGCTTTTAAGAAGAAAAAAGTTTAATAATTTTTAAAACAATTTCAAATAATGGCAACTTCCTACTACTGTTGTCTTCCATTTAAAAATACACTATTTATGTGAACTTTTTTAAAGGAGAATCTTTTTTTTTTATCACTTATGTACAAATGGCAATGTAAAGTCTATTTTGAGATTCATAAATGACTTTACTATGTGCCATTGCCTTTTTCTTTTATTCCTGTTTTGGATTGAGTCTTAATTTATTAATTCAGAATACACGCATCAGGGTCGGAAAAGGCTCAGAACACTACATTCTATTGGTCTGTTCAGGCTGCTATAACAAAATATCACAGATTGAGTGGCTTAACCAACAGACTTTCCTCAAAGTTCTAGAGGCTGATAAGTCCAAGATCAAGGTGCTGGCAGATGTGATTCTTAGTGAGGGCGCCCTTCCCGGCTTGCAGACAGACACCTTTGCGCTGTGACTTCAGTAGAGGGATAGAACTGTGGTCTTTTTCCTCCTTCGTTTAGAGACATTAATCTTATCAAGGGAGTCCCACTCTCACAATCCCATCTAACCCTAATCACCTTCCAAAGGTCCCACCTTCAAGTACGGTCACACTGGGGGCTAGGGCTTCAACATATGTATTTTGGTGGAGAGAAACATTTAGTTCATAATGACTATGATGCCAGGTGAAATAAGCCAGGCACTGAAAGACAAATCCTGCATATTCTCACTTTTATGTGAAATATAAAACACTTGAACTCTTAGAAGCAGAAAGTAGAATGGTGGTTACAGAGGCTGGAGGGTGGGAGGAATGGGAAGGTGATAGTCAAAGAGTTCAAAATCTCTAAATGGGAGGAATAATTTTTTTGAGATCTAGTGCACATTGTGGTGAAGATAGTATATAGTGCACTTCAAAATTGCTGAGAGAGTAAACTTCAAATGTTCTCACCACAAAAAGTAAATATTTGAGGTAATGGATATATTATTTAGATTGATTTAATTATTCCACATTGTATTCATAAATTATGACATAATTTTGTACCCCATAAATATATACAACAATAATTGCCAACTTCCAATAAGAAGTTTTTAAAAATTAAAAAATTAACTTAAAAAATAGTTATAGCCTGTCTAATTTGAAAAAGAGAACTTTTGGTGACTTAATTAAATTATTACTTCCCTTTCTAAGTGTAAGCATTTAGCTTCAAATGAACTTTGCATTTTTTACTCCGTGGTTTTTACATTGACATTGCATTTAGAGTGTTCAAAGTATCATTTTATACTTCATTTCCTTTGATTCCCCCCATTGCCCCTTGACATTAGTAGAACAAGTATTTTTATTTTCATTTCACCATTGTGGAAATCAAGGTTGAGTTACTTAAAAGTCCTCCCGAAGGTCACACCACCAAATAAATGAAAGAGGTCTGACTTTCACCTGGGTCATTTGACTCAGATCATTCCAAAATTATAAAACAGCCCGTTCCAATGTCTAGTAAGCTATTAGTTGAGCAGAGGACAGGCTAATTTAATTATATTGGATGAAGGGAAAGTAACATGAAATGAACCCTAGAATTAACTGGAACCTGATTTCTTATCAATAAAGGAAGTTTCATCTTTCATCTGGCAAGTTAATCATAAATGCAACTTAGTTGAATAGGAATAAGATATATATGATTTTCATATGCAATTAAGTAAGAAAACAACTCATTAGCAGAGAAAAATAAGTCGTATGTAAGTATTCATAGAAGGCATTTGGATCTACTTAAAATATGAGATTCAAATGGGTGAAATTCAAATTATTATTAATTTGTAGAAAACGTTTTGGTTTTACAACTCTTTAAATTGCATGGAGATAGCCTTCCAAAAGCAAAGCCAGGAGAGAAGATAACAGAATGAAGAGATGAAGGAAGAGAGACATCATGTAAATTCCAACTTGACAGTAACTCAGTCTTTGGATTTTCTATTCCATGAGTGAATGCATCTCCTTTGTTGTCTACACTAGTTTGAGTTGGGTTTCTGTCATTTGCAACTTAAGAGTCACCATCACCACCATCATCACTATAATGATAATAATTATCATCATCATCATCGTCGTCATCATCATGTTGAGCCATAAATTCCATCATCTATGCAGATTTCCTTATCTATGGATGATTCCATTCATCATCATGAATGTGAGTCACAGATTCCATCAGAGATAGTAAAGGGGGCCTTGAAATATTCTGAGACTTGTAGAAGGGCATAATTACCTAAGGTAATTGTGATGGATAGTGCTTGAAGTATCTGCTTTCAACTACCTTATATCAGCTTGTGGTGAGCCCAAGTAATTGAAACTCCTAATAGCTTATTAGACATTGGAATGGGCTGCTTATAATTTTGGAATAACCTGAGTCTAATGAAAGTGGTTTCTGCTCACTTTTTAAACTTTTTTAAAAAACTTTGGCTACATCAGGCCTTTTGATTTTGTAATTTTCCATTCTTTTGCAACCATGTTCTTTTTTGGTAATTCATGTTTTATAGACAACTTTCAAAAATACTTTAAATAATTAATAAGGAACATGTATTCTTAAGATCTTCCTCACCATTGAAAGAGAAGATGTGTTTTAAAAAAATCCACTATGGTACCAAAACATATTGAGATAAAGTATGAAAAGGAAAAGGCTGAAAATATTGGAAGCCACTCTGAACTTAGTAGAGGGGAAAATGAAGTGTCTGTAGGAAAAAAGCATGAATACTTAGCTGTCTGATTCATTCCTTCCTAGTAATATTTTCTCATTTCTGTGATCTCTAGAAAACATGTGGAATAGCACACTGACTAAAGTGATTCCTGCTAAGTTTTGAACTGTGATATTCTTGTCTTATAGAAAGAATATAAAAAAGATTTGGAAAATGAAATAAAAGGGAAAGGAATGGAACTTAATTCAGAAGTTCTTGACATCCAAAGAGCAAAGCGAGCCTCGGAAATGGCGAGTGAGGTGAGTGTTTATTTAACACCTTAGATGAATATGGTTTTTGCTGATTTTCTTATCTGTCAATCTTTCTGAAAGGTTCTATACATCCACAACTTTTATATGTAAGTGATTGTAAACAGCTATATCCTTGTAGTCTTTTCCTGGACTACTAATTTTTTTTAAAAAAAATGATACTCATAATCCCCTTTCTATGTGATGTGAGAAAAATGGCCATTTCCCCATTTTGGAGAAAATCCATATAATAAACTAAAATAGTTTAATGAGATTTAACTTCCTCTTTTAAGCAGGTAAAAGGCAGATGATTGGGAAGGTGTGTTATTATGGTCCATCAGTAACTGCAGGTAGAAAGTTCACTTGCTTTCCTGCACATAACCCAACTGACTCTCCCAGTCTTGACGTGGGCTGCTGAATGAACTTATTCAGCCTCTTTATCAAATTAAAGTAGTTTCTGCTCACTTTTCATGCACTTTATAAGGAGAACTGAAATGTCTCTGAAGTGTTTTCAGTCCTGTAATCCTGTATTATCTCATTACTTTGGGTCATAAAGTGTCACTGTGCTTTTAACAGACTTTAGCTAAATTTAGCAGTGAAAAAGCTTAAAGACTTGTCCCCATATTTTGAAAATCCGATGATAATGAGGATGATGATAATGATGATGGTGGTGATGGTGACTCTTAAGTTGCAAATGACAGAAACCCAACTCAAACTAGGGTGGGCAGCAAAGGAGATGCATTCACTCATGGAATAGAAAATCCAAAGATTGAGTTACTGTCATGTTGGGATTCACATGATGTCTCTCTTCCTTCATCTCTTGGTTCTGTTATCTTCTCTATTGGCTTTGCTTCTGGAATGCTGTCTCCATGCAGTGAAACATCTTAGTAACAGGATAACTCATATCTGTGGCCAGTAATCCCAGTGGGAAGTGAACATCCTCTTTTGTAGTTCCAATTAAAGTCTTAGGTTTCAATCTCCTTGGATTAGTCGCTATCCTGTGCTCACACCTGGCCTAATCATTGTGTCTGGGGTTGGGGGAGTAGAATGTGCTGATTATCCTCTCACCCATTCGTTGAGGTAGTTTAACAGTGTCTTATATAAAACATTATAAATGTTTATGTGTTTAAACATCACCTTAATCTTGGCTATATTCACATTCTTTAAATAAAGGAAACATTTAAAAGGCACTTTAGTAGAATTAAAAATATATGTGGGGAGTAGGGAGGTGATGGAAATCAGTCCTTCCCAAGGGTATGGATTGAGAGAACTTAGAGGTCATTTCCCAAAAGGAAACCATGGAGCTTGTTGCCAGAAGAAGGAGGAATGGATGCTGGTCAGCCATAAACAACACGTGCCCCTGGTGAGGTCTGTGGCTAACATTGTCATCACATTATCCCTACATTAGTCATTTTCTGCAAATTCTTCTGTTGCCATGACATGTCCAATCCACATGCAGAGATTATCTTGTAATTACTTGTCAGTAGCACGTATAAAAGTTATTTTATTCTCTTGATGGCAAAGTACAGACGGATGCAGTTGAATGGCAGGATGGTGGCAGGAGCAGCATTAATTGGGCCTTATTAGGAGAAGGAAGGACTGGCCTAGGGGAAAAAGAATGGAAACCTGGAAGAAAGTGTCAGGTGTTGATCATCTCCTTTGTGCTGAGCACTGTGCTATGCACTCTGATTGATCCTCACAACGGATCCTCCAAGGAGGTACAGACATACTGTGGAGATACTGTGGGTTCGGTTCCAGACCAGCCTAATAAAGCAAATACCACAATAAAGTGATTTGCATGAACTTTTTGATTTCTTAATACGTATACATGTTATGTTTATACCATACTGTAGTCTAAGAAGTATGCAGTAGCCTTATGTTCAAAATACATCTATATCTTAATTTAAAGTACTTTATTGATAAAAGTGCTAATGATCATCTGATCCTTCAGCAAGTGGTAATCTTTTTGCTGGTGGAGGGTCTTGTCTCTATGTTGATGGCTGCCAACTGATCAGGATGGTGGCTACTGAAGGTTAGGGTAAATGTGGCCATTCCTTAAAATAAGATGACAATGAAGTTTGCCACATTAATTGCCTCTTCCTCTCATGAAAGATTTCTCTGTAGCATGTGATGCTGTTGATATGTTTTACCCACAGTAGAACTTTCAAGATTAGAGACCATCCTCTCAAACCCATTGCTGCTTTAATGACAAAGTTTTTGTGATATCCTAAATCTTTTGTTGTTATTTCAACAATGATCACAGCGTCTTCACAAGGATTTAATCTTAAGAAACCACATTCTTTGCTTGTCCATCGGAAGCAACTCCTTATCCATTCAAGTTTGATTATGAGACGGCAGCAATTCAGTCACATTTTGAAGTTCCACTTCTAATTCTAGTTCTCTTGCTATTTCCACTGCATCTGCATTTGCTTCTTCCACTGAGGGCTTGAACCATTCAAAGTTATCCATGAGAGTTGAAGTCACCTTCTTCCAAACTTCTATTAATGTTGATATTTTGTACTTCTCTCATGAATCAATAATGTTCTTAATGGCATATAGAGCAGAGAATCTTTTTCAGAAGGTTTTCAATTTACTTTGCCCAGATTCATCATAGGAATCACAATCTATGACAGGTAAAACCCTATGAAATGTATTTCTTAAATAATAAGCCTTGAAAGTAAGAATTTTCCTTGATCCATGGGCTGCAGAATGGATGTTGTATAGCAGGCATGAAAACATGAATATCCTTATACATTTCTATCAGAGCTCTTTGGTGACCAGGTGCATTGTAACTGAACATTAATATTTTCAAAGGAATCTTTCTTTTCTGAACATTAGGTCTTGGCAGTGGGCTTCAAATATTCAGTAAACCATACTTTAAAAAAATGTGCTGTCATCCAGGCTTTGTTATTCCATTTATAAAGCACAGGCAGAGTAAATTTAGCATAATTCTTAAAGACCCTAGGATTTCCAGAATGGTAAACGAGCATTGGCTTCAATTTAAAGTCACCAGCTGCATTAGCCCTTAATAAGAGTCAGCTTGTCGTTTGAAGAATTGAAGCAGACATTGACTTCTCCTCACTAGCTATGGAAGTCCTAGATGGCATCTTTTTCCAATAGAAGGCTGTTTTGTCTACATAAAAAATCTGTTGTCTAGTGTAGCTACGTTCATCAAGTATCTTAGCTAGATCTTCTGGGTGACTTGCTGTGGCTTCTGCATCAGCCCTTGCTGCTTCACTTTGCACTTTCATATGATGGAGATGGCTTCTTTCCTTAAACCTCATGAAGCAACCTCTGCTAGCTTCCAACTTTTCCTCTGTAGCTTCTTCACCTCTCTCAGCCTTCACAGAAATGAGGGTTAGGGCCTTGTTCTGGATTAGGTTTGGTTTAAGGGGATGTTGTTTCTGGAATGTTGTATCTGGTTTGATCTATTCAGACCACTAAAACTTTCTCTATATCAGCAATAGGGTTGTTTCACATTCTTATAATTCATGCGTTCACTGGGGTAGCACTGTTAATTTCCTTCAAGAACTTTTCCTTGGCATTCATAACTCGAGTAACTGTTTGGTACAAGAGTCCTAGCTTTGGGCCTGTATTGGCTTTTGACGTCCCTTCCTCGTTAAGCTCAATCATTTCTAGCATTTGATTTAAAGTATGTCTCTTCTTTTTACTTGAACATCTAGGGGCCATTGTAGAGTTACTAATCAGTCCAATTTCAATATTGTTGTCACTTAGGGAATAGGGAAGCCCAAAGAGAGGGAAAAAGATAGAGGAACGGCTGATCAGTGGAGCAGTCAGAACACACGTAACATTTCTCGATTAAGTTCACTGACTTATAGGGGTGCATTTGGTGGCATCTCCCAACAATTACAATAGTGTTGCAGGATTTCTCCTTAGTTCAGCTAAAGACAGTGTCCTTGTCCCATGGCCATGAAAGTTTAGACTTGCAGACAGTTTGAAGGGTGAGTAAAGCAGAGTTTTATTGGGTGTAAAGGAAGAAAAGGGGGAAACAGGGACTCTGCAAGGCCAGAGTCCCTGCTAGAGTGCTTCCCACCTCACAGTTTGAATCCCAGGTTCCACACAGGAAGAAGAGGGGCCAGGCTCCTCCCTGTTGCAAACGGCCTGAACTTCTCTGGCTCCACCCCAGCACACACTCTTTCCAGTGTTCAGGCCAGCTGGAGTTTTGGCAGTGACCCCCTCCTATCTGTCTGTCTCAATAGTGACATCAAAGATCACTGATGGGCCGGGCGTGGTGGCTCACACACCTGTAATCCCAGCACTTTGGGAAGCCGAGGTGGGTGGATCACCTGAGGGTAGGAGTTCATGACCAGCCTGGCCAACATGGTGAAACCTGGTCTCTAATAAAATACAAAAATTAGCTGGATGCCATGGCACACGCATGTAGTCCCAGTTACTCGGGAGGCTGAGGCTGGAGAATTGCTTGAACCCAGCAGGCTCAGGTTGCAGTGAGCCAAGATCATTCCATGGCACTCCAGCCTGGGTGAAAGAGCAAGACTCTGTCAAAAAAAAATCACTAATCACAAACCACCGTAACAGTTTGAAATATTGTATTACCAAAATGTGACACAGAGACACCATGTAAGCACATACTGTTGGGAAAAAAGCACCGACAGACTTGCTTGGCAAGCAGGGTTGCCACAAACCTTCAGTTTGTAAAAAATTCAGTATCTGCAAAGCACAGTAAAGTAAAGCACAATAAAAATGAGGTATGCCTGCATTACTGCCTTCATTTTGCAGATGAGTAAACTGGAAAAGTTGAGCATTCTCAGTGTCACACAGCTGGTGAGTGCTGTGGCCTCCCAAGTTCATCTGTTCTGTATAACATCAGCTCATTTACATCCCTATCCTCCAACCCTAAAGACAATTGTCAGTGAAGATTTTCACATGGCAATCGCCCTTGTATACTAAATGTCTTTGGAGCTTTGCATGCCCTTCTTCAGTGAGAACAAGATTACCGTTCTAAGCAGTTCAGAAAATTTAGTTGTGAGTGATCATTCGTAGTACTCAAGGAGCTTTGTTACCTCTTTTGTAAAATACGTTTAACTATTTTTTTGGTATCATTGACTGCAGATGCATGTTTGCCCACTGAGTGTTTGAATGTTGTAACGTGTCTTTTGCAGAAAGAATACAAGAAAGACCTGGAGTCAATAATTAAAGGGAAGGGAATGCAAGCTGGCCCTGACACCCTTGAAATGCGGCATGCCAAGAAGGCGGCAGAGATCGTGAGTGAGGTTAGTAGGGTGCGTGATGCAGGCCTTAAGACTCATAGTGTGGAACCTAACAAATCATGTTAGCAACTTGATTACTATATGGAATTTCTCAAAGCGTTGTGACTGGTTTAACAGTTTGGAATGGAGACTATTCCACAGCATTATGCCTGTTTGAAAATGTACAGTTTTTGCTTTGCTCACATCCTTCCAATATATCAAAAAAAGCTTGGTGGAAGGCATTTTAATTGAATACACACACATGCACACATGCACTCCCCTGCACACCTTACTTCAGAATACAACAGATTTAATGGTAATCTGGGCTATGATAAATATTTTCATGGTATTTTTTAATGGATCACCTGCTGCTTGGCATATCTGTATTTCCAAATTTCTGAGCAGAACTTCATATTTGGACGCTTAACGTGAGTATAATAGTCATTTCTGTCTGATTGCATATTCTTAAAATAGCCTTTGTTGACATGATCAGCGTGCATGAAATTTCTACACAGTCAGCATTTTGGGTGGAGGTCTGATACAACCTGATTGACCATGCTCATTCATCTAATACCATTTTTCCCTTCATGGGATACAGGATATTGATTTAGAAGTTTTGTCTTAAATTCTGTGACAGGATGGATATCACATCACAAGGTTGTAGGAGTCAGACCATATACATATATTTCAAAGGAAATACCCTAGAACTTTCTCTACACCTCTTGAACTTCCCCACAAAAATCTGAGAATATAAAAGGATCACTGGAGTGAAGATTTGGGTTGTGATGATTTTATAAAAGTGTATGTGAAGAAAAAATTGGGGTGTAGGTGAATGGGTCCTGCTCACTTATCTCAAGACTGGTTAGGTGGGGGCTTCAGTGGGGTACTCTGAGACCTGTTGTGTGACCTTTGCACTTAGGAAGAGCTGACTCAGGACTGACACCTTACAGGAAATCTGGAAGGCTAGAGGTAGCTGCTTAGCTGCTAGGGAAGTTACTGTTGTTTTGAAAATGACTGACATCCCCAGAGTTAGGCACTGGCCAGGGAAATGGGATTGCTATGATTGAATAAGACAAAGGAAGTGGAGATGGTATAGCTTTCCTGATCAATAAGTGTTCCATTTTGAAGTGGTGGCCAGGGGTGGACGGCCAGGAGCGTGAGGAACAGGGACTTTCCTACTTCTGTTCTCCTCCCAAGAGATAGTCATTGTTATAAGTTTGTTATGGAGCCTTCCAAATCTGTTTTGTGTTTATATAGATAAATACATACTTGTACACACACAGACTTAAAAAAATCTTAAATGGGGTCATACTCCATTTAAGTGTTTGATTGTTTTCTCACTTTATATTATGGATTTTTTTTTCTGTGTTCCTTCATATAGGTCTACCTCATTCTTATAGAAAAATTAAGTGTTCTATAACATGGATGTGAATATGTAACCCTTTATCTTTTGTTGTCTACAAGGGAAGTGTATAATGGGATCTCAACATTACAGGCCAAAACTAGAATCCTTAATTTTCCCCTAGGTTAGCTTTCCTCCATCTGCTTCCCAGCAAATGGCACTAACCAAAGCATAGAAGTCACTTTGATTCCTGTCATCAGCATGCTTTATTGATGTCACCCCCATAGTGGTGGTCTAAATCCATCTCTTTCTCGCCACCCTAGTCCAAGCCACCATCTCTATCCTCTAGATCATTGCCATAGCTTCCTAACTAGAATTCTGCTATTATTGCCTTCCTAGTAGACATTCTCATCCCAGCAGAAGAATCCTTGAAGGAATTAAATGAAATTTTGTTGTTACTCTCCTCACATGCAATTATTTAGTGGTTTCCAGTCACATCCAGTGTAAATGGATTCATCTGGCTCTGGTGAAGTCTCCACTCTCAGGCTGAGAGTCTTAGTCTATAAAAACCCCCCAAATAATAATAAAAAAAATCTAATTTGCATATAATCATAGTCATGTCCCCATTTTGCCTAAATGATAGGCTCAGATCCTTTTCAACCAATGTTTGGGACTTTGCCAGAGTTTGTTTTTAATATCGAAAGTTTATTTTTCAAATAAAGTCAATGGATCATATTGTAACACAAATGACCCTCAATAGTCAAGCCTTCCCATAGCTCCGGGCTTGACCATGTGACTTTCTTTAGCCAATGAGACATCAGCAAATGTGACTCAGACAGAGGCTATAAACACACTTCTGCATTAGGGTTTGCCCTCTTTGAACATAGATGCTGCCATGTTGTTGTTTTAAACCTTCTAAGTTTTGGGGTGTTTTGTTATGCAGACAACAAATAACTGATGCCAAGGGTGTCTAATGTAGTCTGTGTGCTTTAGAAGACATTTACGTTTGAAAGTTCATATTGGAAAATTGTTACATCCTTCTACCATTGGACCTTTGTGGCTGTCTGCTATCAGTGCTTCAGTTTCATCATATTTGTTGGCCTTCAAATGAAACATTTTGTTTTGGAGCTTTAAACAGGCTAAAACAGAGTGCTTTTTATAGACATAGTAATAATTGAATATTATTATTTTGAAAGTTAAACATAATTATGTAAACTTTTATTTAGAAAAATGATACTGAGAGTGTAAGTCAGTAAAAACAGGAAGGGTTATGAGTGGAAGACAAGAGGAAAAATATTCCAAGATTGAGATTTTGTTTACCACTTATCTAAATTTGATGATCTACTAATAAGCAAACCAACATTTACTTTGCAGCAGAGAATCTACAAATCTGGAGTGTGTCAGCATAATAAGAAATAATTGTTTTAAAACACATTTAATTGGCTATAGTTAATAGTTTTTTAATAACATTTTTCTTTGAAGAATAATGTACATATAGAAAATGCAAATTTATATATGTACAGCTTGTTGAATTTTGTAATCAGTTTTCAAATGTGACAAAAGTCCCTAAAGACATGTGTGTCTGTGCAATTATGACTATCTTGTAAGCAATAGGTAATCCAATTCCAACTGGCAAAAAAAAAAACAAAACAGATAACTTATTTGTTGTTCTTATGATCAAATGGTAGAGAAATTCCTAGGCACAGCTTGATCTAGGACTCAAATAATGAGATTTGGTTTCAGCTTTCAGTTCTTAGGTAGACATTCTTGTTTGCAAAGAGGCTTCCAGCACCTCTTATGTGGAAAAAAAGATGCATGCATCCTGGAACCAATTCTGCAGTGTGGGTGATGGGGTATAATGATTTAAGTCCAGCGGAGCCCAGAGACTTGGGCCAGTTTCTGGATGGTTTAGGAGGGGGAGCATTGAGTTGTCTAGTGGCAAATCAGAGAGCCAGTGAAGGGAGTAATGATTTATTTAAGCCCAGCAGAGTCCAGAGATTTGAGCCAGTCTCACTCAAGCTGGATGATTTAGGAGTGGGAGCACTGAGTTGTCCAGTGGCAAGTTAGGGAGCCAATGAAGGGAAAAGTAGGGGTGGATTCCAGAGAAACAACCAACACGTATTCACTACAGAGTGAAAAACAGCAAGCCGTATATGACCCAATAATATATCAAGTTTATCATAATGAAATGTTAAATTTTCCCCTTGGCTAGCTCCGTTTTTCTTCTTAATTCAGATTAGCAGAAAAAAAATCTTCTGATTACTGGTGAATAAGTTATGCTAAGTCCTAGTCCTACCACAAGTAAAAACTCTTTCTTCTTCTATAGAAATAAAAGAAATAAGGATTCAACTTCATTCCAAAAGACATGGTCTTGATGTCAAATAATATCTCGATTTTTGAGTCATTTTTCAAATGATTGGAGAGCACTAACTGTGCGTTTCATTTTCTGCAGAAAGACTATAAAAGAGATCTGGAGACTGAAATTAAAGGGAAAGGGATGCAGGTGAGCACGGACACTCTTGATGTCCAGAGAGCTAAGAAAGCATCCGAGATGGCCAGCCAGGTAAGACAGCAGTGAGATACAAAGTTTAAAATAAATGCCGTGAATCATAGCTAGAAAGAGCATAAGTGTTCTTTCCACATGGGTGGCTTTGAGATTCAAACATGTAAATGTCAACATTGCTATTAAAGCTTAAGCAAAGTTCTAAGATCATTTTCTGTTCTTTTAGAAACAATACAAGAAGGACTTAGAAAATGAAATTAAAGGGAGAGGAATGCAAGTGAGCATGGATATCCCAGATATCCTTCGAGCCAAGAGGACATCTGAAATCTATAGCCAGGTTAGTCAAGAATGAAGATACTTAGAATTGTGTGTTCCAATGTCATGTTGCCACGTGTTTTGTATGTCTTATGGATTGATTTCTTTCTTTTTTTTTTTTTTTTTTTTTTTTTTGAGATGGAGTCTGGCTCTGTCGCCCAGGCTGGTGTGCAGTGGCCAGATCTCAGCTCACTGCAAGCTCCGCCTCCCGGGTTTACGCCATTCTCTTGCCTCAGCCTCCCGAGTAGCTGGGACTACAGGCACTCGCCACCTCGCCCGGCTAGTTTTTTGTATTTTTTAGTAGAGATGGGGTTTCACTGTGTTAGCCAGGATGGTCTCGATCTCCTGACCTCATGATCCGCCCATCTCGGCCTCCCAAAGTGCTGGGATTACAGGCTTGAGCCACCGCGCCCGGCCCCCTGAATGATACCTTTCTGAGGGTATTGCATTCAGAGTTAGTATACTCTTTCACTGAGAAACCATTGGCCAAACTTGATTAACCTTACTAATGAATAGGACAACTGTCATAGATTCAATGCAACAGACATTATGGAGAGCTACAGCCTATCTGTCGGGGCTCCTTGTTTTGAGTCCAAGGACATTAAAACTTTTTTTTTTTTCTAAATTTTAGAAATGGAGGTCTCACTCTTTCACCCAGGCTGGAATGCAGTGGCGCCATCGTAGCTTGCTGCAACCTCAAACTCCTGGGCTCAAGCTTATTTTCCTGCCTCAGTGGGCATGAGCCATTGTGCCCAGCCCAAGGATATTTTAACCTTTTCTTTCTTTCTTTCTTTCTTTCTTTCTTTCTTTCTTTCTTTCTTTCTTTCTTTCTTTCTTTCTTTCTTTCTTTCTTTTTTTTTGACCTTATTGGACACTTTGCTCAAATGCTTTTGCTCATACCACAGAAAAATAAATTACAAACTATTTGTCTTTTAACCATTTCGTCATGAATATTATTATTAAAATAGTTCCAAATAAAACTAACAGTGACTAAAGCTGCACAAAGTACAAGGTGAAGTTTAGTGTTAGGTAAAAATTGAGGGAACAGTGAAGTTTTCTTGGTAAAATTTAGATTTGTCAAATATACTTGTCCCATATTCTGTAAACAAAGCTGGATGTGGGAGAAGTAATGACCACAAAAAGTATTTATGGAAGAAGAATTTATTTATAAAATCTGACTTGGGCAAAAACATTCATTAGCAAATAGTATCCTTGCTGTAACATTTACTAAAATAAATGACTCCCAATGGAAAAAAAAATAGTAGAAGGAATGAAAAAAAAGAAAATGGTTATATAAAATTGACCATAGAATTTAATTTGATTAATGGAGTTTATGCAGGAAGGAATGTGTAACAACATTTGGCGAAATTTGTTAAAATTCTGATTAAGACATAAGCAAGGACATTAACCATCCACTAGTTCAAAAGGATAGTATCAAGATGGCAGAGTCAAATGTCAGAGGACTTGTGTGCCTGTCAACCTCAACAGACGACGCAGCCACTGGGATGGTCCTGAAGTGTGTGTTCTTCTGTTCTCAGTGTCCATGAACTTGGAGACATTGGCTCTGGCCATATCAGCTGAACTAAAATCCTAGGTCAATACATTAAACAGGCAAATGGACATTTGAGTCAGTGGAGAAGAGTTACTTACTGTCTCAAGAATGCCAAACTCATTCCTTCAGTCGGTAAATACCTCCTGAGCACCCATTTGCATGCAAGACCAGACATGGCTTTGCCCTTGGAAAGCTACAGACAAATCTAATAATCATGTAAATATAGTGTTACAACCATGATAGATACACCTGAAAGTAACAGTATTGAGAGTGAAGGTGCCTGAGCTGTCAGATTTCCTGCCTTAACTTAATAGCATAGTTTTTTTTTTTAGTGTGACATGAGAATATATCTAATTTTAAGGGATTTTAATCAGTGAAATACAATGGGGATACTTAAGAGTGTGTAATGAAGCCTGGTACATTTCGACATGAAGAGTAGTTACCTTTCTTAAAAAGCAGTAGTTTGTCAGAAGAGTTAACTTCACTGATTTTGGAATCAGAGAGCCTGGTTTTAAGTTGCAGCTCTGATACTTACTATCTAGTACCTCAGTTTCTCCATCTATAAGATGGAAATAATAATAGTATCTGCTTGTCAGGTTGATTAAATGGGTTAATGTGTGTTAAGTATTTAGAACAATACCCATTACACAGTAAGTAAATGTAAGTGCTGGTACTAGGATAAGATATTGCCTGGGTTGTATTAGAACTCATAGTAGCTCGTTTAGTGGAGAGAAAATTAAGATTTTAATCTCAACTTCAAAATACTGGTAACTTTCCCTTAATCAAATCTATTTTCACCTGAAGTAGGAAACAAAGCATAAATCTAGAAGTCATGTGGTATGGTAGAGATTGAAGAATGGTATCATTCCCTCTCTCTCTCTCTCTCTCTCTCTTTCTCTCTCTCTCCCCCTCCACCTCCCTCCCTCCCTCCTTCCCTCTCACACGTGCACGCACACACAGTTTCAGATTTATATTAACTGTTTTTATTTTTAGAGAAAGTATAAAGATGAAGCAGAGAAGATGCTTTCTAACTATTCTACCATAGCAGATACTCCTGAAATTCGGAGAATTAAGACAACTCAACAAAACATTAGTGTGGTGAGTAGCCATTATTTCTTTTTAGTTGCCACCTTGAAATTTTGTTTTGTAAGAAATGGTGTTTTTTCCTCATTATCTGATGTTTTCTACTGTCTTACTTGAATTTTCTGTCAAGTGTATTATCTTTATTTCTTTAAAATAATAAGAATACTGATAATTTTTACAAATTATCAATTTTCATGTTTTTTTGGAATTACAAATTCAAATTTCCCTCTGATACAAATGACAGTTAACTAAATTTTAAAATTTAACTCTGGAAAGAAGTCTTAGTCTTCTACACAGATTTTACTTAGAAGATGAAAATAGTCATATGAAGTGATTTTATTCCTGGTAATTTATTGCTTTTACTGATAATATATTTAGCAATTTACTCATTCTTAATAAATTTCTAAACTTATATATTTTTATTTTGGGGAAGAGGAATTGCATCGGTACTATTTTTTTTTAACTTTTATTTTAAGTTCAGGGGTATCTGTGCAGGTTTTTACATAGGTAAGCTTGTGTCATAAGGATTTGTTGTACAGATTGTTTTGTCACCCAGGTATTAAGCCTGATACCCATTAGTTATTTTTTCTGATCCTCTCTCTCCCCTCCTACTTCACCCTCTGATAGGCCCCTGTGTGTGTTGTTCCTCTCTATATGTCCATGTGTTTCCATCATTTAGCTCCCACTTATAAGTGAGAACATGTGGTATTTGGTTTTCTGTTCCCGCATTAGTTTGCTAAGTATAATGGCATCTGGCTCCATTTATGTCCCTGCAAAGGCCATGGTGTCATTCTTTTTTTATGGCTGCTTAGTATTCCATGGTGTATATGTACCACATTTTGTTTATCCAGTCTATCATTGATGGGCATTTAGGTTGATTCCATGTCTTTGCTATTGTAAATAGTACATCAGCACTATTAATTAAGAGACTGGGTCCATGATTAATAAATGTATAAACTTGACTTCTGTTCTAAAATTGTAAAAATTGACCATACAACTAATATTTTAACATAGAATTAGCTCAGTCATTAATAGTTAAGCAAGCATCTCATCAAAATATAAGTTCTAGTCAGTGTGAGGACTTCTGGAGTATTTCCTACCTCCTAATTAGTTGGCATGTGCCAGCTCTCAGGGTAAGCTGGTCAGGTGCTTGCTGGGTCTCCACAGGGATGGCCAGTCTGTACTGAGAAATGGAAAAGACTTACTGGAAGGATCAGGAAAGGAGGCTGTGTGATTCCATAGTGTTCTAGAGTTCTGGCCTTTGGAGGAAAACATCTCTCCTACAGTGCTCTCCCACCCGTGCGGGGGCCACTGGATTACCAAATGTCAAGAAAGGCAGTGATTCTCTCCTCATTTGTCTTTCTTATAATTACTCTGGTTTTCTGCAGAGTACTCATAATGAGAGCACTCATAAATACTCTTGTGTTTTGTTCTGCTTTGGGTTTGGAAGGAGTAGGTGTTACTGGGGGTGGAGACACATGGGAGAGGGTTAACAAATAAGTGGAAGATGAAGAAGATAGACTTGAAATTAACATTGATATTGACGATGAGCTAACATTTTCTTGGAAGAGAATGTGGGCATCCTTGTGTTTGGAGAATAGAAGTTGCCTAAAATGTCATGCTCTTTTTGAATTCAGTGGTAACGGCTTAATGGGCTTTTGTAATATCTGCTTTTTCTCAAATACACGTGTGACATATATTTATATTTGAAGAAAGAAACTCTGGTTTGTCAATGTGTATTCTTAAAGCAAATAATCTGTAGTCAGCCATGGTAGCGGTCTAGCCCTAGAGCAGGAGAGGGTTACTTGTAAGATTATGGTATATAAAACCAAAGTTTTAATGGATTATTTTAATGGATTATTTACTATCTTAATGGATTATTTAATTGGTTTCTATAATTCTGGCACTCAGATACGGTATTCGTATTATTATAAAACCTGAGAAAATATCTTTTTAAGAAGCAGATCTAGGACTTGAATTTGACAAGCTTATTCTTTTCCTTTTCTTATAATAAAGGTATTTTATAAGAAAGAAGTAGGAGCTGGCACTGCAGTAAAACATACCCCAGAGATCGAACGAGTGAAGAAAAATCAGCAGAATATTAGTTCAGTAAGTTCTCTACAGCATTAATTATCTTTTCTAAAAGCAAACAGAAACTGTAGACAAATGTTTTTAATTCTTTACTCAACTGATGGCTTTTTTCCTTTTATTCTTCACTTTATTGAAATGCTATTTCATCATATATCAAAGATCTAACTGTCAGAACAAAAACTATATCCTTGTTCCCCTTGACTCTGAAGCAGTATTTCATTCTGATGTATCACAGTGAAGAAGAGCCAGGTCATTTTAATGAAACCTAGGATTAGATTTCATCTCTTTGAAGAGAATTTTAACTCTATTAAATTTTGCAGAGAAAGGTACATTTCAGTACCTCTCCACAAGTTGGAAGAAAGAAATTTTTCCCTGATAGAATGATTAAAGGCCCTAGAACATTTATTTGGCAGCTTAAGTGAAGGTTTAGATTTGAAAAAGCAAATAGTACCAATTCATTTTTAACCCATGTCAGTCACATCTCTAAGCTTTTTATCAGACACATTTCTGCCCATTTCTTCTTTCCAGCCCCTTTTACCTTCTGCTGTTTCCAGCAAAAATGAAAACAAATCACACATCTTCACTGTAAATTGTGAAATAACTTACCTTCCAATAACTTTTAGACTTTGGGGAAGGGTCCCCTTTTGTTAGAAGGGTGCTTCTAACATTAAGGTCCTTAATGTTACAGATAAGTTGGTGTTTTTTTTTTTTTTTTTTTTTTTTCCATTGGGTGTTTGACATTTGCGATGGATCATTGCTCTCCTTACCAATTAGATATTCTCCCCTGTATATTTAGTACGTTGAGCTTCTTTTCTTTTTCTTGAGACAGAGTCTTGCTTTGTTGCCTAAGCCAGAGTGCAGTGGTGCAATAGCTCACTGCAACTGCCTCCCGGCTTCAAGTGATTCTTCTGCCTCAGCCTCCTGAGTAGCTGGGATTACAGGCACACACCACCACACCTGGCGAATTTTTTTATTTTTATTTTTAGTAGAGATGGGGTTTCACTATGTTGGTCAGTCTGGTCTCGAACACCTGACCTCAAGTGATCCTCCCGCTTCAGCCTCCCAAAGTGCTGGGATTGTAGGCATGAGCTACTGTGCCTGTCCGTTACATTTCGTTTCTTGTTGAGGAAGTAAAAATAATTGGTTCTTTAAATCCCTTCCTCTGCCTTATCTCTTCACCCTTACCTTTGGAAAGAGTACCTTCCCTTTAAGTAATCCAAGCAGAATGGCCTTGATTAGACTCATTTATGGGTCACTTGGTCATTATGTAGCATCCTGAGAATATCAGCGTGGGTCAGCATTTGTGAAGAAAGTGTAGGAGAGGTAAGAGAATGAAATAGTAAAGCTATTTCAAAATAAAAGTGTAAAAAGTCTGCAGAATATCAGTGCAATAAAACCTCTGTAGCATGCATGGAGCTATCTGTTGAAGAAAGCATAAGGAGGTCCTAGGCTTAAGGTGTGGATGACGGTGGATGAATGTGTTCTTCTTATCTTTCACGGTGAGAGCCTGTGTTAGCCTGGTAGAGAAATTAGTTTGGAAGAGAAGTATAAAATATTCATTCCTTCACTTTCCAATGATAACATTTAAAATGCACCCATCGATGTACTGTGATTTAATATTATGAATATTCTGTAGTATGCAATTCTATAGACTATAGTGAAATAACTGTGCCATTTTGATTAGAGTCCCTTTGAAAAACAAAAGTGTTCATCTTTAATCATGTTAAGCTTCTCACCCGTGGAAAATCCCACAGAGTATTACAGTATATCATTTCTTCTCTTAGCATCCCTCAGCCTTTTCTAGCAAACAATGAATGCATAGTTCTGTATCTGTATGAGGTTGGGCCATAAACTCCTGCTTAGTATTCAAATGGAAAGTTGCCCTTTTAAGATTAGCTAGATCTGTCAAACCAAGATATGATTCTCTAACATTTAAAGATCTCGACATTTTCCACCTCCAGAGTACAAGCCTTTTAGCTGTTAGCTCTCTGTGTTAAGAACTATTTTTGAATTTTATTTAGAGGTAGCCTGTCTCAGTGAACTTCCAATTTAACTGTTTTGGGTCTGGACTAATAATTGGCATTGTTACTTATATGAAATCCACAGATACTAAGACATAGATGATATCTGAGATATTTAGGTACTGTTTCTTTATGACAGTCTGCATGAATTTCACCCTCTATCATTTTAAACATTACCAAGTGATTTCTGAAACATGTTTCATGTAGATTTAAATCTTTGCTAAATTTCAACACGGCCTCTTAAGTCGAGCCTATGCTTTCATATATTTACATATATATGTATCCTTTTTATTCAAGAAAGATTGAATTTGAATTATCCTCCATGAATTTTAGACATATTAAAATACCATCTGAAGTGATAGCATCACTAATCATTTTATGAGTTCAAAGAACTGTTTCTTGTCCCATGCATAACTGTATGCTCGTATTACCATTTGCCTGATTGATCTTCCTCTAAATAGATTTGAAGGGGGAGATTTTGAGTGAAGTAGAAGCCAGGATAAAGGTGAGCTTTTCCTAATGTGATTGTGTGGAGAGCAGACACCTCTGACTTTCTAGCACTGACCTTCCTTATAGTGATGCAGGACCCAGTGGTCTGTGCTTTTAGTACATTTCCTTCCATCTCCCTTTTTCTCTGCTTTTATTGTGCTCACTTTATTTTTTTCCTTATTCTGGATTATTTATGTGCTCTCAGTCAGATAGGCAATGTTCCCTAGACTCTGTGGCTAACTCAGTTTGACTTTTGCCTTTAAATATGTGTTAACTTTTAATTACCATATTAATGGAAACTGCTTTTTGGATAGAAAATAATAAATCACTTTATTTAAGATAATTTACAAGGTTTTTTTTTTCTCTTGCATCTGCCTAATGATAAAATTTATTGTCGTGAGCAATGTTTGCTTATTTTACTTAATAAACTCCTATAGTGATGAATAAGTGAATAGATATGGGTTTATTTGTACTTTAGGAATAAGGAATCCTGAAAACATCAGATAAAATTAAGAATTGTGTCCCCAGTGAAGGAAAAGGAATGTTGGAATTAATAAAATTCAATTATGCAATAGTTACAATTGAAGAATTCTCAATATTAAAGCCTTGCATAGAATAAAGTTAACATTATTTTCTTATAAATTATGCAGGTGAAATACAAAGAAGAGATTAAACATGCAACAGCCATTTCCGATCCTCCAGAACTAAAGAGAGTTAAAGAAAACCAGAAGAACATCAGCAATGTGATCATATTTCTTAAGTATTTTTTAAAAATTTTATTGTGTATCAACATATAATGACAGCACAAAACCTGTACAGGTAAAATCCCATCACAATGAATCCCATTGCAAGAGGATCGGTTCCTTAAAAGTGGAGCTGGCATTTTACACATCTGTGTGCCCTCCATGACACCTAGCCTAATGCCTTGTGTGCAGCATTTATTTACTAAAGATATGTATTATTCAGACATGCAGAGTGGAATCAGACATTGGAGACTCCAAAAGGTAGTAGGATGAAAGCAGGGTGAAGAATGAAATATTGTTGGGTACACTGTACACTATTTGGAGTAATGGTTACACTAAAAGCCTAGGCATCACCACTATGCAATATATCTATGTAACACAACTGTACTTGTGCCTTTGAATCTATAAAAAATAAAAAAGAATGAAACCTATTTTCAGAAATATATATTGATATTTTCTTTTCTGTTTTGTCATCTATTTTGTTTTGTAGACATGTACATATAGTCTCTATATATCTATATAGATAACTAGGTATCTATAGTCTACATATATCTATAGTCTATATTAGATAGTCTATATATGTATATATAGTCTATATTAGTTTATATATATCTATATATAGTTTATATTAGATAGTCTATATATATCTATATATAGTCTTTCTATATCTAGCTAGACTACCTGTCTATATATACGTATACTATATATATATTAGTCTACAAAGCAAAACAAATCACAAAACAAGAAGGAAAATTTTCTATTTCTTTTATCTATACCTATTTCTGAAAATAGGTATAGATATCTATGAATATATATATTTATGAAAATAGGTATAGATATCTACAGATAGATAACATATATATTAGTCTACAAAACAAAACAAATGACAAAACTAAAAATGAAATGTGTTATTGAATGTCTACTCTGTTCTTGTTCTTGGGGGATTTTAAAGATGAGCGGGAAGACCTAAGACTGGGGTCGTGGGCATCCTCAAGGTTTCTAGGAGAAACAGAGATAGGAGTATATAGCTATTATTCATTGTTTCTGTGCCATTACAATAACTATTATTTGTTGGGTGCTTACTATGCGTTTTGAGTACTTTACATTGCAATATCTCATTTAATCATAAGTAATAATGCCTCTTGCAAAGTGCTGTGCAAACGCAGAAGGAAGGCTATGCAGTGGGAGGGAGAAATAGCCTTGGGGAAGGGGTAACGTTGGAGTTAGATCTTGAAAAAGTAATAAAGGTTTAGGGCTGAGTTTTGTGAGGAAAGGCATTCCTGGCAGAGCAAACCAAATATGTTCAGGATCCAAGGCTTGTTCCGGGATTCAAGAAGAGGATTTAGTGTGATGAATACTTGGGGTGAAAGATGGCAGGAGAGGGAGGATGCTAGAGAGGGAAGTTGAGATACAGATCGCAGAAAGGTAGTGTGGATTCCCACGGTGTCTCTAAAGTGTGGTTCATATGCCATTATGGCATTACAGTAGATACTATGTGGCTTGCCGATAATCTTAATGATTAAGAGCAGTTGACTTTGTGACTAAATTGTTTTAATGTTTACTTTCTTCCAAAAGAAGGGTGACTAGTTTTCAATTGATGGTAGAAATATAACAATCTCTTAGAAATAACTTTATTTGAAAATAACCGTGAATTAGTTTGATGAAAAAGTATAACAGCATAGGTGTTGTTTATAGTATTTATCTGGTATGACATATGGAAAGGGGCACAAAAATGGCAGAAATTTGGGAAATTTTGATAACACTCAAGTGGTGTATAAGAACGTGAACCCTGGACTGTTGAATGGTTTGATTCTAACTCCAGAGCTTACTTGTTGTATAATCGTTGTAAGCCATTAACCTCCCCAAACCTAAATTTCCTCTATATAAGGCAGGGATAAGAGTATTGAAGAGATATTGTGTGTGAAGCACACAGCATGTTTGTGAAGGATGAATACGAGACATGATGATTCTATCAAACTTATGTACCCAAACTTACATCCACTAGACATTGGCAGTAACAGTTTCTCTATGTCAATAATGTGAATTTAGTATTCAGATTTCCCCCTTTGAGCTTTAGCCAGAGTGATTTCTTTGGAGCTTGCCATCAATATAGATTAAACTGAAACTTTCCTCCCTTCAGCTCAATCACCCAGTCACAAGAATCTGTCTGACATCTCAAACTACATACTATGGCACAAAGACAGTTACATATTGAAGAAAGAGAACAGAGGAAACTTACCCCTTTTCGTTTATTTTTAAAACTTATCCAACTTCCTTTCACTTTCATGTTCACTACTAAGAGTGTGCATCTCAAGTCTATTTCTTTTTCTTTTTTTTTTTTTTTGAGATAGACTCTTACTCTGTCACCCAGGCTGGAGTGCGGTGGCATGATTTCAGTTCACTGCAACCTCTACCTCCTGGGTTTAAGCAATTCTCCTGCCTCAGCCTACTGAGTAGCTGGGATTACAGGTGCAAACCCCCATGCCTGGCTAATTTCATATATTTGGTGGAGATGGGGTTTCACCATATTGGTCAGGCTGGTCTCGAACTCACCACCTCAGTTGATCCACCCACCTCAGCCTTACAAAATGCTGGGATTACAGGCATGAGCCATCACACCCAACCTCAAGTCTATTTCATCAGCATGCCCTGTAAGTCTTGGGATTTCTTGTAAAAGAAAATTCCCTAACATGAACTTTAAAGTCTAAAAAGACACTAAAACTGTCCCTGTGAAGTTTCTTCTAATGAGTTTCTTAACCTCCAGCTCTACTTTTGCCTGTCAAAAGTTCATTTGCCATTCTGATTTTCTGTACTGATGCTCATTTATTTTGGGGGCTGTTGTGGAATTGTTGGGAAAGCTGACCACAAACAATGGAGTTAGATCCCCAGCTAAGAAAAACACCTGTGTGCATTAAGTCAGGAAAATGTCTATAACACCAGGTCAGAGATGGGGCTTCTAATGTTAGAATGGTGTAGAGAAGAAACTTTGAAGTTCAAGGTTTCTTTATACAATAATAGTCTATCACTAAAGTTCAGGTACAGGATTTTGTGACTCTCCTTCCCAATGATAAGAATGTAGAATTATTATTTTTAAATATAAAATGGCAATTTGATAAATGTTGCTTTAGTGCTATGAAGGAATGAATTCATAGAATTCATTCTTACTGATGAAGGGATTATTCATTATTACCAATAAGATCAAACTCAGAGAGGCCACCAATAAATAATACAATCTGAAGGAAGACAACGAAAGGTGTGATTTAAAACAGTTGATAAGGGTTGGGTGTGGTGGCTTACACCTGTAATCCCAGCACTTTGGGAGACCGAGTCAGGAGGATCACTTGAGCTTGGGAGGTTGAGGCTGCAGTGAGCTGTGATGATACCACTGCACTCCAGCCTGGGCAACAGAGCAAGACCTTGTCTCAAAAATAAAACAACAACAAAACCACTTGACAAGGAAAAGACTGGCATCGCCAAGAAGATAAAATCTATAAGCAATACATATTTCACTATGAAATCCTGATGATGATTTTATTAATGAATGTTCTGTAGCCATGTGACATTTAAAAAAATCTGTTCCGATGTTTTGGGATGTATTTATTTCCCATAATCTCAAACTGTCTTGCACCTTGTCTCTCAGCTCCAGTATAAAGAGCAAAATTACAAAGCCACTCCGGTAAGCATGACCCTGGAGATGGAGAGAGTGAGGCGAAACCAGGAGCAGCTGAGTGCGGCAAGTTGTTTCTGTTTCCTTTTATATTTTCTCAAACATAACATATTTTTATTTAAAAATATGCACTTTGGAAGACCATTATCCTTAGCAAACTAACACAGGAACAGAAAACCAAATACTGCATAATAATGAGAGCTTAATGATGAGAACACATGGACACACAGAGGGAAATAACAGACACCAGGGCCTGCTGGAGGGGAGAGGGTGGGAGGTGGCAGAGGATCCGGAAAAGTAACTTTTGAGTACTGGGCTTAATGCCGGGGTGATGAAGTCATCTGTACAACAAACTCCTATAACACAGGTTCACCTGTGTAGCAAACCTGCACATGTGCCCCTGAACTTAAAAGTTTTTTAAAAAATAATGAATTTGAGCAACATGCAATTATATGGATGAATCATATCATTATAATATGAAAAAGTGAATATGTCCATATAGCATGAACTCTTCTGTAAAGTTTAACAACTGCAATAATAATGATGATGATAAAGGGCATATCTCCAGATTTAATAAAATATCTAAAAATTTAAAAAGGAAAAGCTTTACACCCTCTGCATTTTTGGATGTTCCTTTTCACATTTCCATGTTGAAGGGCATGAACTGTGTGTCCAGAAAAGTTGGGACTGTGTTGCTGTACCTTAGCTGTGTTTGCTTATTCAAGAGATCTGCATTAAGTTCCCAGATTGACTGGGCATTGTCCTGGTCACCCAGACACAAAGATGGATAAGACCCACTTTCTATCCTCAAGGACCTCATAGTTCAGTTGGTAAATCTCTTAAAAAAAATGCAGTTAATGGAGAATACTGGATCTGATGTCAATATGAAAAGAAAAAAAAAGTATGTATTGGAACAGGACAAAAGAAGACCTGGTTTGACTGGCATTCTAAGACATAGTATCAAGTCAAAGAGCCTTATAAATGGAAAATATTTTTCAATCATTCAATAGTCTATTGTGAATAAGGCAAAAATAGTTAACAAGGTACCTCTACTCTGTGCTGGGCCCTGTGCTAACGTTCTATGTAAACCCATGAGGTCAGCACTGTTTGTTTCTCTGGTTGGTAGATGTGGGAAACTGAGTCTTGGGGAGGTCAGAGGACATGCTAGTCTCCTCCTCAGCCCCCCACCCAGCTAGTAAGGGCAGAGCTGAAATTGGAACGTATTGTTGAACTTTCACCAATACAAACAAAAGCCCTCTTTTTCCAAGACAGATATTTTTGAAAGACTTTAAAATGTATGAGCAAGTTCTCCTGGGTGGAGATAATTAGGTTCAACACTATTTATCCTTATATTATCCCTGGGAGGTGGTAGGAGTCAGAGAGCTTTAGCTTCTATTGAAGGGGGAAGCCCCACGGTCAGAAGACAGTAAAAATCCTTCTAGGCTGACAGGGAATGGACTTCACAAGAGTTCTCTTGTAAGGACTTCATTCTGGCGTTTCTTTTAAAGCGCGTTCCCTTATGATTCCATTACTTTTATTTGTGGAATTTATGGTTAATTTTGATATTGAAGAGGAAAGCATTTATTGAAGACATATTTAAACAGTACCACCAACAACTTGTGCCTGCTAAATCAGACCCATTGGAATGTGGGCGTATATGTAAGTGTGAAGGTTGATGTAATCAACTATGGAAAAAAATGTGTAAAAAGATGGTGTTAATTTTGAGCCTCGTCCTCTGTGGTATTTCAGTGGAGCCCATTCTGCTATCTGTTAAAGTTCTTATTTATCCTTCTTAGGTAAAATATAAGGGAGAACTTCAACGGGGAACTGCAATTTCTGATCCACCAGAGCTGAAGAGGGCAAAAGAAAACCAGAAGAACATCAGCAATGTGTGGTCATCTTAGTCACTTTTTTCTTACACTATCAAATGTATTGTCCACGTGTGAACGAAGGAATTGTATTTACAGAGTTTTCATAACCTTGGGTGATGCCCTGTTCTCATTTGACTAACAACTTATTTGAAAGATTTCAGGGACTTTGATATTGTGGGTACAGTCAGGTGTTCCCCACCTCAGGGCTCCCAGTGACTTACTAGGATAACTTTTTTCTTTTTGTTTTTTTGAGACAGGGTCTTGCTCTGTCACCCAGGCTGCAGTGCAGTGGCACGATCTTGACTCACTGCAACCTTTGCCTTCTAGGTTCAAGTGATCCTCCCACCTCAGCCTCCCAAGTAGCTGGGACTACGGGCACATGCCGCCACACCTGGCTAATTTTTGTATTTTTTGTAGAGACAGGGTTTGGGCTGGTCTTAAACTCCTTAGCTCATGCAATCCACCCGCCTTGGCCTCCCAAAGTGCTGGGATTACAGGTGTGTGCCACCAGGCCAGGGTGATTTTTTTTTTGACAGGTTGTTGTGTATCCCTTCTATCTTGCCATCTAGCTGATGGGTGCTCTGGTCCCCTCAAGGCCCACAGTTGTAGCTTCTGGCATCCTGGCCCTACAAACATTTTCCCTCCCTTTTCTACCTGCACGTGTTCCTGTTCTTGTGCTTCCCCTCTGAGCCCCACTTTCCACTCCCCACAATTATGGCTCCGTTTTTGGGCAATGTCTAGGAAGAAATGATAATGTGTGCACGGCTGAATAGGTTATATGGGGCAGGATCATTTTGGGGGCACTTAATAAGGGACTGGCAGTTTTTACCTGGACACCAACTTGTGGCCTGCTCCAATTCCCTGTTGTTGAAATAATTCACGGATGCAGTTCAAGAAGAAAGTCCTCTTTTAAAGTCATTAACATATAGATTGGGTTCTTTGGAAGAGGAAACTTGGAAATCTATTACATTCAAAGAAATCTTTTATTCTTCACACCTTTAAAGTCATTTAACCAGTTTATAATGCAAAGGTGATTGATACTTTTCCTAACAACTATATTTTAGAGAAGTAGACACTCATCTTTCCCCCATATATTTAGAGTCACGCTTGATGTGACTCCATTACTCTCAAAAAGGAACATGGTTATTGAGACAAGGAACGGACCAGTGAGAAGCATGCTGGCTTTTTTAAGGATGCCTACAGTCACCTATTTAAACACATCTTTACAAAAATTCTGCCGCAGTTAATTCCTAAGAAACCACTACCATATAGTACCAGTCTATGGTGACTACCTTTAAGTAATATCCATGAAGACATTTGTTCTCGTTTCCTTTTGTGATTAAATATTTATTACAACTTTACGGATGGTGTGCCTATGTATTTGAGTACATTCACAGTGATTTGGACACATGTACTCTCTTCTGGGTTGAAATGAAATAGATTGATTTAAGATGCCAGCATTTTAAATACAACTCAACCTCTGAAAATACTTTTTGTAGTTTCCTACAAAACTTCCTTGGCTAACTCATTAAAATAAATACTATGAGCCAGGCACGGTGGCTCAGGATTGTCGTCTCAGCACTTTGAGAGGCTGAGGTGGGTGGATCACTTGAGCCCAGGAGTTTCAGATCAGCTTGGACAACATGGCAAAACTCAATCTCTACAAAAATACAAAAATTAGCCAGGCATGGTGGCACGTGCCTGTAATCCTGGCTACCTGGGAGGCTGAGGTGGGAGGATTGCCTGAGCCTGGGAGGTCAAGGCCGTGGTGAGCAGAGATTGTACCACTGCATTTCAGCCTGGGTGACAGAGCAAGACCCTGTCTTAAATAAATAAATAAATAAGCCTCTTAGTTGAATTGATTCATAGTATTCTATTTTTTGTTCTCTGAAATGATAGATTTATTACAAAGGTCATCTGGGAAGAGCTACTGCTTTAAGTGTAACTCCTGAAATGGAAAGAGTGAAGAAGAATCAAGAAAATATTAGCTCGGCAAGTGGTTTTCTTCATTTTAGACTATCACAAAGAATGTCTTTTATTATTTACTTACGGTCCTCTTTTGCTTGTGAAAATAAACTTATTTTCAAGAAACATTTGTGATACATCCAATAAGTACACGTGTTATTTCAGATGACTTCCAAAAGCTGCCACTGCAAACATTTACATTATCTTGCAACTCTTTATTTCCAGATGTGACCAACAGTTACATTCAAAGCTTACTTTATAATTATATTCATTTAAACAACGATTCATGCTGTTTTAGCCATGTCTTTGAAAGTGATAAAGCCTTTGATGTGTGCATTAAATAACTGTCATTTTACTGAAATATTTCATTGAACATGGATTGTTAAATGCTGTCTGCAAAACAAAATAGGAGATGAATCATTACTCCCACTAAAGACTTACAGAAAATAATCCTTAAATACAATTAATGTGGAATTCAGTTGCTCACCAAAGTCCAGTGGTGCACCTTAGTATCTTATTTGAATATTGTGCTTCCTCGTAGTGAAGATCAGGGCTTCGATTCCGAATTGTCCATAATGCCCTCAGGTCCACAATAAGCAGTATCCAAATCTTACACCTAATCAGTTTCATAAATGGCAGTGTTCTGATGGGCAGCTGTCAAGAACACCGGCCCTTTTCTTAGCACACCCTAAATAGCTGTTTGCCTGAGAATCAGCGTTTAGGCTTTGCAATTTACAGCTTCCTAGTGGCATTTCTGTCCACTTGATTTCTGTCCACATAAATTACCTTTAAGTTGTGGCTGCTTAGAAGAACAACTAGATTTGTTCCTCATTGTTTCTTATTACCTAAGCAGAGAAAAAAATAAAAAGAAATAGAGAGTAGGTTGTATGCATTTTTCAACACTCTTATGGTAGAAAATGGGGAAATTCAGAAACAAAATAACTTTGGGTTCTATTTAATAGTTTTGGATTTTCTCTGTTTAACTTAAATATGGTAACCAGTTTGTGTGTGTGTGTGTGTGTGTGTGTGTGTGTGTGTGTTTGAGACACAGTCTCTGTTGCCCAGGCTGGAGTGCAGTAGCACAATCATAGCTCATTGCAGCTTTGAATTCCTGGGCTCAAGTAGCTGTCATGTCTTACTTAACCTGTCACATAGCTGGAACTACAGGCACATGCCCAGCTAATTTTTTTTTTTTTTTTTTTTTTTTTAATTTTTAACTATAGAGATGGGCGGGGACAGGGGTGGGGTCTCACTATGTTGCCCAGTCTGGTCTCAAACCCCAGGCCTCAAGTAATCCTCCCACCTTAGCTTTCCAAGGTGCTGTGATTACAGGCATGAGCCACCGGGCCTGCCAGATTTAGACTAGATAGTTAGTTACTATTGGTCATTCACACATTTGTTTTCAGTTGATAGATTTAGGTCATTTTGCAGTAGGCAGTGGAGGAGATCTTTGAAAATTTTAGGTTGCTATTCTAGAACAAAATTTAATTCACTGAAAAAGTTATCTGGAAAATAATTTCATGTATGTTGCATATGGTTTCACTCATTCGTAAAGCTTAAAAAAGTGATGCCATGTGTTTTCTTATCATTGTCTTATGTCTGCTGTTTACTTTGCAGGTAAAATATACCCAGGACCGTAAACAGATGAAAGGTAGACCAAGTCTGATTTTAGATACACCTGCTATGAGACATGTTAAAGAAGCACAAAATCATATTTCAATGGTAGGGTTCAACCAAATCATTCTTAAAACATGCTAAGGAATGGCCGGGTCCAGTGCACGGATGGCATTACTTCACTATTAATCTGATAACTAACAAAGCATGGAACGTGGCTGACTTGTCTTTTAGGGGAGGGGCATTTCTAATCACACTGAAATGTAATGGAAATATTTAGTCTAATAAAATGATTTTTCTCAGTGACTTTTTCTGGTGTGTCTTTATTTCTAACGTGACTACTATAAACTCATGGTGTGAAAGACATTCGTATAGACGTCTTTCCAATTACTTCTAAGACAAAATTTGGTCTGTTTGCCTGTCATTAAGAATATTTTAAAAAGTGTATTTTTGAAAGTGTGTTTTTAAAAATGTGTGTTTTTAAAATGTTATCAGATGTAATTTACCTGCCATAAAGTTTGCCCATTAAAGTGTTCAATTCAGTGGTTTCTAGTATAATTTACAGTTATACAACTATCTCCTGGACCTAATTTCAGGACATGAAAAAAGTGTATTTTGAGGTACAAGTTTTTGTAATTATATTAAAAATGGTATATATCATTACCTATAAAATTTTAAACTAATTTTAAATAATGCCATTTTCATGAATGATTGCCTGGAGATAGATATCACTTTATTGGATATTGAAGGTTAAGAGATTAGGAAATTTAATTTATACTTAAATTAGTATATTTTAGGAAGTAACCAGGATTTGAGATTATGTGTTTTTTACAACCTCTCACTAATAATAGATATAGTTTTACATATAATTTAAAATAGATACGAGCTATAATGATGAAAAGCTTTGTGAAAATATCAGCACTTGATTTCTGATGCTAAGAAACTGAAGCTCCAGACTTTAGTTTTGGAGTATTTGGGAAAGATACATATGTGTAGACAGTCTGCACGCAGTCAGTGCAGTGTACACCTGTCCTTTAATCCAAATGTTGTGAAAGAGGCACCTATCAGCAAAATTCAGTATGTTGATTTTTCGTTTTTCAGGTAAAATACCATGAAGATTTTGAAAAAACCAAGGGGAGAGGCTTTACTCCTGTCGTGGATGATCCGGTGACAGAGAGAGTGAGGAAGAACACCCAGGTGGTCAGCGATGCTGCCTATAAAGGGGTCCACCCTCACATCGTGGAGATGGACAGAAGACCTGGAATCATTGTTGGTAAGCTGATGGCCTTTCTCGGCAGGTGTGTGTGGTCGAAAAGGTCGTGTTTGCTCTAGCTTCAGAATTACCCTCTTTAGTCATCTGACTCCTCATTACATTTTGGGTGTGGTATCAATTTAAAATGGACCGCAGGTAAAGTATTATTTTTGTATGATGTGTAATGGGATTTCTGGCTTTCACCTGGTATCATCTCAAGTCTTTTCTATTATTGGAAGCTCTGTCTTTAATACCTTGCTAGTGTTAAGAATGTTCCTCCTTGTTAAGCAAAGAAGCAGAGATATGAGTGATCACAATGGTTGAACAATTATTTTGTTTTTCTTCAGCCCGTGTGCTTGGTCGATGTGTTGTTCTGTTGACATCATGTGCATGAGTGGCAGAAATGACCATATTGCATTTAGGTCCTTTGATCACAAACAGACATGCCAGGGGCATTCTGATGGTATTCCATAATAGTAATAGCTCATTTAAAAAATACTATTTCTGGACTGGAGTAGTTGAGAGCCATCTGAAAGTCTTGCAATTAAGAGAGCAAACTTTTATTCCTGCTCTCTGTTTCTTATAGTCAGGGGAAATCCTAGAAGGATATTTGTTGAATGGTGGCTGAGATACCAGAAAAGATCATACTGAAGTATAAGGCAGGGCTAGGAAGGATGGTTATTGATTTTTCAATCTGTGTCAACATTTCAAAACTGTTGTCTCCTTCAGAGCAGTTAACCTCTGAATTATGTAGTACAGTTATGTAACTTAAAGAATATTTTTGGTATATGCCACTCAGTAATATCAGTGTTTTCTTTATCTTCAAAAGTAGGAGCTTATTTTTTGGTACTAGTGAAAGGCCATAGAGGTAAGTTATGTGGGGAAAGTGTAAATTTGACAGGGTAAACCAGTGTACTAAAGTCAGAGCACTAAGTAACTTCGATGATTATACTAAAGTGACTCTGAAAGTATTTTCCGAAGAAGGATTCCAAACATGTTTGTAGGCAATTGATAGCTTTGCTGATCTGCCGGAGTTGATTACTTAAAAGGATCACATTAAGTTGGATGGATAGGTTGTGATGTTTTCATTAAATGTGACACCAAATTAGAGTTTCATTGCTTTGTGCTAAGCGGATGGAACTATCTTAAGGGATAGTGCAGGGGTTCTGATTTATCTCACTTAGGGTGGAACTGCTAAAGTCTGTACAGCTTACTCCCAGGCCCTGCACACATCAGAGGTCAGGAATGATGATGAGGTTGTTGCTAAAAACCATGAAAATGTCTAGACCGTGGGCTTTCAGAATTCAGTACTCAAAACCATTGAGGTTGAAATTATGATTGTTTTATAAAATATAAGATGTATAACTCTAAGTTATTTACTTACTTGGCAATCTGGAAGTCAGTTTATTTATTCTTATTGGGAAGAACTGTTTTCCATTATTTCCATAATTGGCCAACATTAAACTTTCCAATGAGCCATCTTCTGTATCAGGCATGAAAATACACGTTTAGAGATTTTCTGAGGAATTCAGGTTAAGCCAATTTGTGCTGCTTCTATTTTTGTTGGAGGCTCTGCTACTTCTCACGAGCTGTGTAAACTTGGCCAAGCTACTCAATTTCTCTGTGCCTCAGTTTCCTCATCTGCAAAATGAGGATGGTACGTATGAAACTTAATTAGGTGTCAAATGAGAATAGTGCCTGGCATATGGTCAGCACTACGTAATATTAATTAAAAACGGACAAGCAAATTTCCAGTTCCATTTTACAAATTAATTGTTTTTGCTCCAGCTCCATTTCTGCCATATGTCTGTAACTAGGATTTTATTTTCCAGTTGTTGGTACAGCCGTAAGTAAACAGCTTATTTTAGGATCTGATGCCCTTTTGTTGGAGAGACTGATGAATTCAGAAGTTATTAAAATACGAGGAGAATAAAGTGGTTTGCACAGTCTGATCACTGACTACAGCAGGGGTCCATTGACAGCAGGAAACTGATATTATTTCTTTTTTCATTCATCATTTTCCTTGCTGTGTGCCTTGCTTATAACACTTTTTAAATAAGTGTATCTTATTAGATACACTTAGCTTGCACTCGCAGACTCAGAATGAAAACTAGATTTGCCACCACTCCACATTTTAAATATTTATTTCTGTTATAGGAAGGAAAGTTTTTTTGTTTTGTTTTGTTTTTTAAACATAAACTTCTCAATTGTTTCCTATGAATTACTCACATGTCCTGAATCAGAAGCTATAATCAAACATTTTGCTTGTTTCAGCCTGTGGGGAACAAGAGCGATCGGGGATTTGGGGGTGCTGTGGGGGATGCATATAGCTGCCCCATGTGCTCCTGTGTACCTGTGACAAGGTCTGGCAGGGCAGCTCAATGAATAGAGCAGGCAGCTTCAATCTGATTACAAAGATTTCTTAACAGATGCTTGTGAAAGCAAGTATTTTTTCATCCTCTTCTGAAGTCATCGGCACTGTGAGTTTGTCTGTTACATGTTTGCTTTTTATATCTACTCCTTTGCAGACTTTGTCTTGACTCTTTTGGGGATTGGCTTTTTTTTTTTTTTTTTTAAATTCCTTCTTGATGAATGTTGATTTCTTCCTTTTGACAAAAGACCTCAAAGTTTGGCGCACAGATCCTGGCTCCGTCTTCGACCTCGATCCCCTGGAAGACAATATTCAGTCTAGAAGCCTACATATGCTGTCTGGTACTGCTCACTTTTGGTTTTGTCCCAAAATTGAAACCACTATGAACTGTAGAGGTTCATTATACTGTGTAATGTAAATTTTAAAGCTGAGAATTTGGCAAACCAAAAAAATACTATGCTACTTTTAAATACAATTAATCATTTACGAAAAGAAAGCTTGCAAAAGGACTTTTTGATATATCTTAATTAGTCTGTCCTAGATTCATTTAAATAAGCTTTTTATTAGTAAGAACGCTTTTATAGAATTTCTGGGTTTACAAATACAGTTATTTGGATTTCATCAAACTGCTGAGACAAAAGGAGTTTTGTTTCATGAAATACATTGTTATAATTTTTTAAAGGTAGGTTTAAGGAATGATATATAGAACAGTAGAAGGGTTTTCTATAGGGCATCAGAAATGTCTTAAAAGAAATGTTCAAGTATCTTTAAAATTTTCTTTGACATTTTATGTAATATAAAATGAATAGTTTACATAGGAATCATAGTTAGCTTTTAACTTAGATTGCAAGTTCATAATTAAAGGCAAAAAAATGAATAGTTGGGGTATGAGTGATAGCTTGATTTGACATTTCAAATTTTCTCTGACAGTTGTATAGTTATGTTAAACAATAGATAGCTATGTCATTTAGATCTTGCTCTAAACCCTGATTTCTACTCTATATTTAATTGTTGGTGTGAATAGAATTGAATACCCGAGGCAAAGTAGGAATTCTAGTACTTTTATAGTCAATTTCATTCATATAGTTAGCCAAACAGTGTCACTTGATTTTCTAAAAATAAAAAAAAGGCAACAAATACTATATACCTGGTGATAGTTTAAAGGAATTATTTAAAACCAGGCTTTACGATTAACAAAAATTTATTAGTTTACCAGTGTTTCTTAATCCTTGTCAATTTCCTATCCCTTCCCTGTCCTTTAAAATTGAGACTTAAAAAAGCATAAAATGATGGTTGAGTCCCTCATGTAGTTGATGCAATGCATGCTGAAGTTTGGGAATAGGTGCCTAGAGCTGAGATTTTGAGTTATTCTTTACTAAGAGATTGTTTTTCTTCTCTGTTAAGCTTTTAAGTAATTTTTTTGTTGATTTTGTTTTTCGAGTCACTTAATCACACGTGTAAATATTTTCCCTCCAATATAGAAAAGGCGAGTCACTGTAGGCGACATTGGTCTCGATCCCATTCCAGCAGTACTTTTGGTACAGGTCTCGGAGACGACAGGTCAGAAATCTCAGAGATTTACCCTAGCTTTTCATGCTGCAGTGAGGTAACAAGACCGTCTGATGAAGGAGGTATCAAACATCCACCGCTTACAAAGAAGATCAATTCGTTTTTTAAGTGTGTCACAAGAGTGTCTTTAACATTCTTTTCACCTTTGCATGAACATCTAGCCTGGCTGTGTTTGAGAATTTAAAATTAAATTCAGAAAGTTAATAGTCCTTTTGTTTTTTTTTAAAGAAAAAACCCTACTAATTTGCATTTTTGCATGTTATTTTTCCCGCTGTCTTACTTCGCTATTATCACGGCAATGGATTTGTAATGACAAAAGGGTCTTGAGATTTGCTACTTGAGTCTGTTTCACAGGAATTATATGGGATAAATATACACACTACACAGTCAAAGCAGAAACTTGAGTTCTGCATAGTTTGTATGTGATTTCCATTAAGAAAAAAAATCAATCTTACAGTAATATTGGGGTGCCTAAGAGGTTACAATGAATGTGTATATGTTTAAATATTAATATAAACTTGCAGACAGAGTTAGATCTTGCCAAAAGAAATTGGGCGTAATACTTGGGATATGAGAGGGTTTTTTTTTTTTTAAATGAGAAACACTATTGATTGTTAATCATCTTCTCTCCATTTTATATACCCACTCTTTTCCTATATCTTCTGTTTTCTGCCTCCAGGCTGATGGATTAAGCCTAGAACTTCAGTGAATTTCTTTAGGATGTTAAACTAATTTTACTTATAAAGCTGTTTTTAAAGGTTAAGACTAAAATGTTTCCTCACCTCATTGCAGTTATATTTTAGTATAGCAAGGAGAGGGAAAGGACTGAAGCATATGAGAACAAAAACAATACTGAATTTCTCTTTCAACTCAAAGGTCATATTGCTGAAATCTCAAAGGCAGGACATTTTGAGATTGAGCAACTTAACACCTTGGTGGTGCGACTGAGGCAATGATGAAGCTGTGAAAGATTTTGTAACTCTATAATTGTTTTTTTGCACTCATTACAATGAAACACTAATGGGAATGACATTTATTATATTCTATACATCTTGAATTATAAATCTGGACTAGCCTTACTTTGGTACAAATTTACTAAAGGTCTCCTTTCTGTGTAGCTAATGAAATAATTATAAACTAGTTGTTTTATTGTAGGTAAAATATACATGAGAAGATCTCCCCTTTTTGTGTCTGTCTGAATTGCTAAAGAAGGGTTCAGTAACTTCCTGATTACTTTTTTGATAGAGTTTTACTCTGTTGCCCAGGCTGGAGTGCAGTGGTACAATCTTAGCTCACTGCAACCTTCACCTCCTGGGTTCAAGTGATTCTTGTGTCTCAGTCTCCTGAGTAGGTGGGTCTACAGGTGTGTGCTACCACACCTAGCTAACTTTTGTACTTTTTATAGAGACGGGAGTCTTGCAATGTTGTCCATGCTGGTCTGGAACTCCTGACCTCAAGTGATCTACCTGCCTCGGCCTCCCAAGTGCTGGGATTACAGGTGTGAGCCACCATGCCCAAACTCTGATTACTTTTTTTGGACATGGGGTCACTGATTTTTCCCCTCAGTGTCCTTCCTGGTTCTGTAAATGCAAAATAATATTGATATTTAAAGAGATAAATAAAACCCAAAGCAAATATAAGAACTAATGTTGATCAACCTTATTTAATGTTACTCAGTTCAGCATATTGGAATTAATATCTCTCCCAAAGGCAAGGTACCAGAGAGTCTTTGTTTCATGAATGACCCTTTACTTCACGTCTGTCTCCACAGCACATCATTCATTCATTTAGTCACCAAATGTTTACTGAGTGCTGTTTGTACACCAGCCAAGAGCTTAGATCTGGCAGTGCACACAGCAGTGAGCAAAAGAAACATACATCTGCTGTAAGTGGCTTAGAGGCTGGTGGGGGGACCTTGACATTTAGCAGACACTTACACAAGTAATACATAATGATGAGCAGAATCAGGCCTGTGAGAGGGAGGAATAAGGGCTACAATAACAGGGCAGCTGCATCTGGCCTTGATGTCAGGGGAGCCTTCCTTGGGGAGGGGATGTTTGAGTAGAGATGTCAATGCTGATGGACGTTAATGAGGCTGTGGGGCTTTGAGAGAAAAATGTTTCTGATAGGACAGAGCATGCAATATCTGATTGGATAGAAGCATGCATTGGATAGGACAAAACACTGAGATGTTCAAATGGAAGCATCACATACGCAGTTAGAGTTTAGAAGAGGAGGCCGCACTGGAGGTCAGTTTGGAAATCATCATCCAAGTCTATGATTTAGGTCCTGAATGGATCTGTGTAGAGATCAGGAATTTGGAGGCCCTCTACTTGGATGCCTCTACTCCCTCTGCAGCAGCAGACCACACCCACCTCACTTATCTCTTTTCATGCTCTTCTCCAAGGCTGTAAAAACCTGCTGCTGTTTTTCACCTCTTTTTCTTCTCAAGCCCACATTCCTTCTCTTTTCTAATTATTTCTAGCAGGAGGACTCTATCCTAAGCCAAACTGAATGAGAAAATGTCTCATTGGAAGAAGGTATAGGCAAATATTCTTGCATTTATACTAGAATTTGAGTAAGAGTAACACATGGATGGGTAAGAGGGAATAATCATATTTTTTTAAAAGGGGGAATTTCATACTCCTTCAAAGATGTGGGGAGATTTTGGACAGCAGCGATGACTCAGTGACTCAAATAATGCCTTGTAAGAAAACGTTGACTCTTTTTTTTTTTTTTTTTTTTGAGACAGAGTCTCACTGTGTTACTCAGGCTGGAGTGCAGTAACGCGGTCTGGGCTCACTGCAACCTCTGCCTTCCAGGTTCAAGTGATTCTCCTGCCTTAGCCTCCCGAGTAGCTGGGAATGCAGGTGCATGCCACCACACTTGGCTAATTTTTGTATTTTAAGTAGAGATGGGGTTTCGCCGTGTTGACCAGGTTGGTCTTGAACTCCTGACCTCAAGTGATCCACTTGCCTCAGCCTCCCAAAATGCCGGGATTACAGACGTGAGCCACTGTGCCTGGCCAAAAAGTTGACTCTTTGGAGTCATTTATGAATTTCTGTTGTTCTCAGTTCCCTGTTTTGAGGCCAAGATGCTCTGTCTTTAGAGACATTTCCTATTTTAAAAAATAGATACTGAGGTATGAAGCAAAAGTGAAGATGTACCAATAAGTTGTATAACATAAACACAAGTGACAGTATGCCCACAAAAGAGCCGTATGAATTTGAAAAGATTGTAGGATACGTCGGAATATGCTAATTTAATTTATTTTAAGTGAAGCAAAGCACATTCTACCAGTTGGCACCTGATGTCTGTATTCAAATGATTAGTGACATAGATCAAACCTTTTAAGTTCAATACCACCTCTCTGCTTCCCCCTTCCCTGCAGAAATCTCCTTTCTGAGCTTCCCAGTTTGCTAAGTGTCAACTGCAGCTTTCCAGCTACTGAAGTCAAACCCTTTGGAGTCACCCCTGACTCTTGTCTTTCACTCACACCCCCCATCCAGTTCATTGGCAAATCTTGTCAGCTGGACCATGACAAAAATATCCAGAATCTGAGTGCTTGGCCCCACCTCCATTGTTGCTACCCTTGTGTCAGCCACTGTCATCTCTCATTTGGACAATCATAGTTGCCTCCTGACTGGTTTGTCTGCTTCTGCTCTGGCCACACCATCTTCCACCCACCCCCTGCTCTGATCTGTTCTCCACCTGGCATCTGGAATGATCTTCTTAAAGCCCTGGTGACATCATGTCACTCTTCTACTATTTTATTCTGAATATAACCCAAATTTTCATCATTGTGTACAAGACCCATGTCTGATCTTGGGCCCTGGCCACTGCTCTGAACTAATTTTCTGCCATTCTGAATACATCTATCCACTCTCACCATTTCCGGTTCCTTTGCTTTACTCAGACTTTCTAAGAATGCTTCCCCCAGGGCTTTTGCACACACTGTTATCCCAGCCTGGAATACTCCTGCCACCCCAGATATTTGCTTAGCTAAGTGCCATTTTTCTTTATGTTTCAGTGGGCCTGCAGCATATTCAACATTGGAGCCCAAGACTAATTCTGATTCACCCTCTCTTAAGTGGAACGGTGCTCGGTTAGTTTCTGCTAATGTTGAAATAAATCATCTTACAGCTAGAGGCCATAATGGTAGGGTTAGTCATGTGAACCCTTGTGTGGTGATGAGGGTTGATAAAGCAAATGATCCACTTATCAAGAGAACTAACAGGAAGATGATTGCTAGGGGAACTTTGTATGGAATTGTTTGGGCTACTGCTTGACGTGCTCTAATGAGTACATATTTTGGATTGAATGTCCAATGCTCAGGTGACTCCCTCTCTAACTACTAGAGAAAAAATAGCACCCCTTTCCTGACCGTCTTTTTTCTCTGCATTTTTTCCTTCATAGCACCTGGTACCACTTCAGATATTATATATTGGTTTATTTATTTGGCTCAGTCTGCAAGCCCAACAAGATCAGAGATATTAGCTGTTTTGTTGACTGTTCTATCTCTAGCTCTTAGAATAAGCATTCAGCAACTATTTGGAGAGGGGATAAAATGGCCAAATGAATATTTTAAAAACGAGGACCACATGCATAAATATATGTAAGTGTAATTATTTTTATAAAATAAAATTCTCTTTGGGAAGGCTTTCAAGAAGATTCTTACATTTTTGGTGATGTTTTGATATGTTTTGATGACATTAAAGCATAGCTGAAAAAATACTCTGAAGTGGAAGCATTCTCAGTATTTTTTTTTTTTCCTGGTACAGAAGGAAAGAAGTTTCCATGATTTCTCAGTAGCTTTGAAATTTAGGGTCCCCTTTGAAATGTGTGCTCTGCTGGGCTCTGATGAGAAGGTGCCGATTGACTCTATAAAAAGTGGAGCGATGAAAATTGTTAGTGCTTTTAACAGTAACAGTTCATCATATGCATTTGTTTAAATTCTATCCTAGAAATTGAAAAGAATTTTATAACAATACTAGTTAGGGGTAAGATGAAGAAAGGAAATGTTTATAAATATTTAGAAATGCTATTTTTCTTCTGGATGTTG